GTGAAGAGTTGAAAGAGTTGGAAGCCTCAAACTCAAAAACCCAACTTTTCAGCTTTTCCTGTTCTAAAAAATTCATATTACTTTATTCATTTGTCTTTTCTTTTAATTTAGTTTTTTAAATGGAGCCGGCCATTATTCCCGCCAAGGGAAGTGGATTACTGAAGCAGAGTAGAAACATGGAGGGCTTTAACCAATTTTCACTGTTAAATTTGTGTAGGTTTCTGGAAAATCACAGTTGCAGGTAAAGAGTTTTTTTTTTCCTGCCTCTGACTTCTGAAATTTGTGTACTTCTCTCTTTTACCTATTGCACGATAATTGATGTCATCGTATTATTAATTAAATGTAAATATTAATTTTAAGATTTATTTAATGTAATTTTTTATTAAAAATTATTTTAATCATACTGATGATTATTGCAGTATCATTAAACTCAACATATTATTAATTAAATTTAAATATTAATTTTTTAAATTTATTTAATATAAATTGATGATTATTACGATATTATTAAATTTAAATATTAATTTTTTATATTTATTTAATATAAATTTTTTATTAAAAAATTTTAAATATAATTATGTAATTTATTTTAATTGTATTATAATAATTTTTATCATTATTTTTAATTTATCACAATATATTTTTACCGTACATCAAAATGGGGCAGGATTGTCTCTCTCAGCCTTGGCTTTTTTTAACTGTTGCTTTATCTGTCTTACTGAGGGCTTTTTCTTTTTCTTTTTCTTTTAGTTGGCCATGACCAAACTCAGCTAGTAAATATCAATATCTTTCATTGCCGAAGGATTTCTACAATTAAAAAAAATAAAATTGAAAACCTCTTATGAGTTGTTAAAATAGATGGGGCTCGAAATTTAACTTGTATCTATCAGATTTTAATTTAATCTGATTTTATAAAATTAATTTTTTATTTTTTTAAAATTAAATTTTAGATTGAATTGATATTTTTTGAAAAAATTCGAAGTTGAGTTTTATGTAAACTTATCTTGACTCGTCTTTATATTTATATATTTATATTATTTATTTAATTTTATATTTTTATATATTTTATATATTTTATATTTATTTAATTTTATATTTATATTTTAAAATTAATATTTTATATTTAAAATAATAATAAATAATATTTTATTAACTTCAAATTGAATTAATTATAAATTTAAACATATGCTAATCAAGTTTGGTTCAAATATAAAAATAATATTTTAATATCGAATCGGATCAAATTCAAATATTAAACATATAAAATCGAATCAATTTTGAAACGAATAAAAATTCATCCCAACTCGATCAGTTATCATCCTTAAACATAATGTGAGCAAGGGTTGGTGTTTAGTCAATGTTAGCATTTGGAATGCATGTGGAGGACACTTTGGTTAAGGCCAGAAGCATATTTGCATGAAAAGGAAATTTCGGGAGGAGTTGATCCAATTGCAATAATTTCTTTCAAATAATATGATAGGGTATGAAAAAGTTTTTTTTAATAAAAGTAACTAATTAATTATGAATGCCCCTTTTTTGTTGCTGGAATATATAATGTGGAAAGCAATTACGGTTGCAGTGATGGTTGAATGTTAATTATATGAATATCATAATTGTTGTTTTTTACATATGTGCATAAAATGCATGAAAATGCATGAAAAGTCAAGGTTGGATAAGGTGTCACAATTATGAATTTTTTGACTTCAAGCATGAACATTATCTATCATTTAAGTCGGATATTATTTGGATCAATTGACATATTATTGAGATTACGAATTTGAAAAAATTTATACATGTAATATCTATTCTCTTCAATCATATAAATATAAGTTTAAAAAATTTAAAAGAGAATTAAAAAATTTTTTTTAAAAAAATCTATCATTTAAAACATATAAAAATAAATCATGATTTACATGTCCAAATTTCAACTCCTAGGCTTCCTTTGCAACTTGCATGGGCCATGCATGACTCCTAAGTTTATTTACAGTTTTGTACGTCAAATCTATACATGTACACACTTGAATTTGAAATTTTCAAAAGAAAATTTGAAAATTAAAAACTTGATATTAATTTTAATTTGGAGATTATGAATTCAAATCTTAAGATCAGATGTAAGTCTTTGAATATAAGAAAAAGATATAGTGTTTGAATTTGAAACATTTTTTTTTTTTTGGTTGAAAGTTCAAAAATTACTCACTATCACTCAGCAGTGTTGCTTCAGAAAGAGAAACTCAGAAAAGGGTGAATGGCCTAGTTTATGGGTGTGCAAATGACCACAAATTCTCATATACTGTATTTTGATTCTCTTTGGCCTTTTAGGGTGGCGTGCACAAATGAGTGCTAAGTTAGTAAAGATGGCTTGAGCTAATAATAGAGCATGTCATTGAACCAACATATGCCCAGTTGCCCACACAAACTAATAATCCTATGCAGCGATGGGGCATCACATCATTATCATAGGTTTTGTGGGAGAGGAGCAAGCAATTATTCATCTCACAAAGTCGAAACTCTAAAGTATGTTGGGTCATCACTTGTCATCCATGTTCCAAGAAAGAAGGTTGAGGAGTTTGTATTTAAAAGCCTTGATTGGATTGAGAAGAGGTTAATTCAATTAATTATATCATAAAGTTCATTTATTTACATAACAAATTTTGAATTTAAATTTTATCGATGATTTTTTGTTAAATTTAATCTCGAATGCACAATTTATTTTATTTTGACCTAGGATCAATTGGATAAATTATTTACCCTTGAATTTTATTTACCAAAAAATAAAATAGAAAAACCCTTGATGAGGTGCAGGTGGAGAAATTAGTGGTCCTAGATATCCTTTTTAATAATTTAGAAGTTCGACACTGATCATGCCAGAACTTGCTTTCTGCTACTGGCTTGCTTTTACATGTTTTGACCTTTGTTCTAATTGTCTATTTAGGGTTCATCTAAGAGTTCAATTAAAGGCTTTCATCATCATCAAAAAATTCGTTTTTATATCTAGACTTCTTAATCTTCTTAAATATATCTTTAACCAATTTCAGACCCCCAAAGGAGCACGAATGAAGTGTGTAATTGGAGAAAGGAAACTTTCTTCTTCTTCAACTACCTTCCCTTGAGATAGAAGCTAGCTTCCGCTAATCTGCATTATTATTAACTTGTCTTCAATGAGGGAAAAAAAAGAAGTGAACGATTTCGATTTTCAAGTTCCAACTCTTTCTTCTCTTTCCCATGGCACAAAATTCAGATTGACAGGCCTAAATCCTAATGACCTATACTTGCTTTTGGGCTGAGATGACATGCTTCAGAGTTTTAACTCAGGAAAGCTACTGGGCTAGTGGAGCAGTGATATAGTGGTTTCAAACCACCGCCCAGACCCAGAAGGACAGGAGACTGAAGACAAGTACATGCCATGTGTCCAGTGCCAAGAAATCTTGAAAAAAAAGCCAGGTAAATTGCATGTTGTAAAACGGGTCAAATCAAAAGTAGTCAGTATATTATTCTAGACGCCTTTGTCGCATGTTGTATCTTTTCACGAAGCGGAAACGGAACAGCAACACTGAGCAGGTGTGGGCAACCCTGTGGCTCACATCTCTGACAACCGTGGTGGGTTGAATAGACATTTGGTGCATTCTTGCATGCATCCCTGTTAGGTGAAGCAACAACAGGGAAAGGAATTCTAGCACAGTTGAACCTGGAGACTGGGATTCCCATTTATGAAGCTGAACCCCTTCTTCTCTTCTTCATTCTTTTCACCCACCTTGGAGCATAGGACCTTTGAATGACCGAGGTAGCTTTGTTGACAGCCCTCCTGCAGGGCAGTTATCCCTCCCGGCTAAGTCCTCAGGGCCACATTGGGTCTCAAAGGAGGCTGGCATTTTAAAATGTGTATTCAACAAAGTTGCTGGACCTTGTTTTACAGTCTAACAATTGGAACCAAGTTCAACGTTTCAATACGTGACATTCCATGGCTTGTATTCTTGCGCTTTGTTGTCAGGTCCATTGTTTTGGATTCACAAAGGTAAGTGAGCTGTTTGCTGGAAGATCGGCTCAGCTGTGGGTATTGCTTTCTCATTGATAGGAGAAATTATTACAGGGAAGGAATCTCTAGCACTACTAAACATTGAGAGAGGAATCCCCAATAGTGATAGTGAACCCCTTGTTTTGTTCAACGTTGCCTTCTTCTTTGCTGCTATAAATCCTGGGACTGGTAAATTTGTCACGGATGAAGATGAAGACTAGATGCCTATTTGTTCTTACAGATTTCATAAGCAACCTGTAAAAGGCATGACACTACTTTTTCTGTCCCTTTCTCTCATGTTTGTTCGTTCGCATCAATGAATTGGGCTGCAACTACATTGCTTTAAACAAAAACACATTTCCAAAAATGGCAGAGATGCACATTGTGGAAAGTAATGAAAAGGATTACAAAGACATTTCCAAAGACATTGAAGAATAATTAAAGGAATCGATTCCTGATTCCACTTGATCACATCTGACAGAATCTAAAACAGGTCAAAAAGCAATTATCTGTTGGGAATGAGAATCCTGAGAAAAAAGGGTATTGAAATTCCTGGAATTTGCCACTAACTACCTTTCCTTTTGAAGGCTTTTAGCTTGTGCTGGAGGGATATTAAAAAACAAAAAATTGTTTCAATTATAGCCGACCATGCCTTTGTAACATGAAGGCAGTGTTTTGTCGGCGTAGCCGTGTGTTTGCATTTGTGACAGGGAGTTTGGCTCTAGCAAAAATGGTAAGAGGTCGATCATTTGGAACGTTTTCAACAAGACCAGTCTCAATTTAGATATTAGTTCAATTAAACAAAAAAAAAGGCTAATTACTTTTATAAGGTCAAACCATGTGCTTCATGGCCTAATACATAGATACATCCACGATTAAGACAAATTAACAACTAAAAATCGACACGTGTAATTTAAAGATAAAGTCCAGCTGCCAACTTGACAAATCAACTTCCTAACAATTGATTATTATACTATTATTATCATTATGCTTAACCTGATTAAAGTTTCTTGTTTCCGTTATAAACCATGTCATCACTAAGAAAAGGACAGAAAATCAAAAACCCATAGGAGCCTTGCCTTCGCCTCTTTAGTATCTAGAAATTGCTGCTGTTTTTGGATCAATTTTTTTTTCCATTCTCTAACACAGCCCCTGAAAATCGAGCTGTTAACGTCAACCATGATTCAGGCGGACACGTTTCTCAGCCAACAATTCAGCAGTTAACCCCTCAATTAGAAGTTGGTTCTTTTTAGCAGCGTCACAGTCATAATCAGAGCTGTTGATTCTGTGAGAAGAAGGAACAATAATGGAGAAATCAGTTCCTGTTAAGGATGTTCAACAACTCAATGAAAATCTCCATCACTCTTTTTCTTCTGCTTCTCAAAGACATGTAACTTACAGGTTTGTTCTTTCTTTTTATTTTTGCGTGAATTTTGATTGGTTCTTTTGTTGAATTGGATGTTTAAAATTTTGGATTTTAATTTCTGGGTTTTGTTTGCTATGAAATAATTGATTCTGGGTTTGTTGTTTTTTGTTGATTTATGAAGGAAGTTGACTGTATCTAATTATTTTAAATACCGTTGTCTCCATTGATTGTAAAGCAGGGGACAGATTTAGATTAATAAAGAGTTCGTTATCAACTTTTAATTGGAGTACAAGGCTGAATTTTAAATGAACTTTTGATCAGAAGAAAATCTTCATGAGAATTAAATGGATTGTTGGGACCGCTTCGTGCGAAAATGGTGGAATAAAAATCTTCAAAGATCATGAAAAAAAAAAACCTTGTTTAACCATTATAATGCTTATTTATCTTAGCGAGATTGGCTTCGTCACTATGATTTCTGTGCAAAATCAGTTGCTTAACCGGTGCTATGGTCAATGCTAATGTCGCTGCACTAGTAGCCTACTTGATTAACGTTAAAATTTATGAACTTGGGAGTTTAGGGTTAGGAATGAGCTAACTTCTCTGTGTTTTTCTTTTATGTGGATAGTATTGTGCTTGTTACCGGCTGATGATATTTACCATAGAATTTGTTTATGTTATAGGTATATTAGGATGTCCGAGAAATGATTATCTATGTTATTTTGCGTTTATGGTAACTTCAAAATTTTCACATACCATGGCTTGCTTGATAGTTGGTAGATGTAGTAATGAAACATATGAAGATTCAATTTTATGGGTTGCTGAGTTGTAATTTGATTTCCTTACCTTTGGCAGTTAATGCAAGTACTTAAATTTATATATTTCATATGCTCTATTTGACCTAGATTATTAAAGGCAGGTGATGAACTCAGATGCAATTGTTGTTTTTTATTTACTTTTAGTTGGTTGTCTATTCAGGGTCCTTTTAGGACTGAAAGACTTTCACAGTGTCCTATTACTTTGGCATTTGAAATTAAAAGCTACAAATTCTCTCATTTGAGTATTTGACAGTGGGAATTAAAGTTCTAGTACTACCATTTTTATGTAGTCAAGAATTGTTACTTATAAAGTTCTTTATGAAATTGCAATAACTACAGAAAAAGAGTCAGTTAAAGGAAAGTTTCTTTGATGCTTCCAATAATACAAACTATGATGCCTTCCTCAGTAAGCCTCCAATGTTGTAATATGTTGAAAAGAAAACACTTGTTTGTTGATATTCTAGCCTCCTTGTTTTCAGTAATAGATAGTCAATAACTCTATAAAACAACATAAGCAAGCTATGGCATATATGTGTCCTATTGTACTTGGATTTTTTGTCTTAACATTATATTTCTGAAGATAAAATGTTGGAAACGATTCTTTCTTGCAGCTGTGGTTCGTGTGGGTATGAGCTAAACCTAAGTTCCACCAGTCGAAACACCGCAACAATTGGCTCCAAATATGGAAAATCTATAAAGCGAGGGATTATATCATTCTTCAATATAGATGAGAGCAGATTTACGCAAGTTGATGAGTTCCAATGCATTCCCAACCTTTCAAAACACTCGTGGGGTTTGTTCCGCCATAAAACCAAACTTCTCTGCCGCAAGTGTGGCAATCACATTGGAAATGCTTATGATGATAAAACTTCAGGCTACCCTCTTGTATTAGATGGGTCCAATTCATCCTCTGGTAATGAAGTTTCTAGCCATAGAAAATATGATATTAGAATCCGTGCCTTACAGCCTTTATCTGCTACAACACTTTTTGTGTGATTTACTAGAGTGATGTCTTCATCATTTACTGTCTTGCAATTGCATTATCAATGATGAGCGTTTTCTTGTGGGATTATTATTGTCTATAGCTGTTTTGAGTCCTTTCATTCTATGTTTTCTTTGTTGTTTTGTTAAATGTCATCCCAATATTTCATGGTAACTCAATGTACATAAAAGTATCTAAAAGGAAAGTAGTGTGGAGTTTTGAAAGGAGTTGATGGGTTGAGCAAAGTAATGTCACTACCAAATCTGAATGTAAACGTTCAGGTAATGTCTTTTGAGTTGAATTAATCAAGTTTTTTTTTTTTTTTTGGCTATTGAAGATTATTGGAATTATTGCTGTTCCTTTCTTAATTAAGCAAACTAACTTTGCTTGAGTTCTGTGTTTAGGTTGAACTACTTCTCCAATTTCGTATTTGGTTTTGCTTTCTCTTTCTCATATAAATCATCATCTAGACCTTTGACCAAACAAAAATTACATCAACCTTCATAATAATATCTTTTCTAAGGTTCCATTTATTTCACCGAAAATAACTTTCAAAAAATAATTTCTATATTTTCATGTGTTTATTTGAGAGAAAATTGATTGGTAAACGAAAAATGACTTATTGATCAATGAAAAATAAGGTCATTTTTCTTAAAATTGTCTTACCCTTTTGAAAAGAAAAAGATAATTTTCGAAAAAAACTGTGTATGAATAGAATTACTTATCAATGTGTATGAGTTTAATTTTATCTAAATGACATTGTATATGATTTCTTTAAGCTTAAATTTAATTTGATCCGACTTAAAATATTATTATATTAATAAATAATATTTTATTTAATTTTACTTAAAAAATTAAAATATTAATATTAAATGTCTTTTTTATATTTTAAATTTAAATATTTTTATAATTTTACTCAAGTAAGATTATGAAAATAATATTTTAAGAGATTTGATTATACTTAAAATATTATTATACTAATAAAATATTTTATTTAATTTTAATTAAAAATTAAAATAATAACATTAAAAGTCTTTTGATATTAATTTTAAATATTTTATTTTATATATTATTAAACGTAAATATTTTTAATATTTCAATAATAAAAAGTATTATATTATTATTTTAATAATATATAATAATATTTTATTATTTTAATAATTAATGTTAAATAATATAATAGTATTATTTTCTTAATATGAATATTTTTAATAATTTCTTATTATTTTTTAGTTTAAAATATATAATTTTATATTTTTATTTATTAAGGTATTTATATTACTACTTTAAAAATAAATATAAATAAAAAATATTTCTATTATGATTTAATAGTAGATACTTTCAATATAAAATATCAATATTTTAAAATATTAATATAAAGAATAACAAATGGTTTTATTTTAAGTATTTTATATTAATATAATATTTTAATATTAAATATTATTATTAAAACATAATTATTCTTGTATATTAATAATTTTAACAATAAATAATTTCAGTATACTTTAATAATAAATAATTTTTAACATTTTAATAGTTATATTAATATTATTTTAAAAACATATTTTTCAAAAAATAATCAAATAAGAAAAAATATTTTTTATTAAATTATTCAAATAACAAAAAATCTCTATTTTTTAAAAAATATAACATTTTTCAAAAAACATTTTTTGAAAATAAATTTTAACAAAAGAAACTGAGCCTTAGTTTGATTTCAGTTTCAACTTTCAAGTTTTCTTAGGTCACGAAGATGAATCAAACCTGCAAAAGTTCCGTAAGTGGTTACAGTTGGTCTGGCTGGTTACATTGCTCCAGGAAAACTTAATATTGTTACGATGAAAACGGTTCAAAGTATGCAACAATAAGAGATTTCTCTAAATCATACCTGCCGTCATCTGCCAAATTTGTCACTTAAAGTAGAATTTTATTAGGTAATTAATCTGGTCCAGCCGGTCCAAAAATCAAGTTTGGGCCTCTAGACCCAGTACTTTTTTCTTCATGAAAAGCCTCAAATGATAGGGTAAGAATTACGAAAATGATATGCCTAATCTTATGATAATAGGTGCACGCCACCTGTAGAAATGTGTGGTCCAATCAAATGTACTTAAGCATTATTATTTTTTTTTTAAGGAAGCATTAATTTTTTGAACTAAGATTGATTAAATCTGACGTTAGAACTTCAAATCATGTAGATTATAGCCTTTAATCTAGCCTTTGTAGCATATACTTTTGGTTTGAAGACAATTAAAATTTTGTTGATGTAAATTGTTGGCTGCCTTAATTTCAAACCCTACCATGATGAAGGGGTCCTACACCTATAATAAGAAAATTTGTTCTTGATTGTGAAATTAGACAGAATATTTTATATCAAACCTCAATCAGACATGCATAATTCAGAATATTTCATGTAATAAAAATTTTGAATTTCACGTATATTCACAACAATAGCCATTGTACAAGGAAAATGTGCCCTTTATTATCAATCAAAATCTAATCTTAGAATTTAAATTTGGATTTAATCTAATTAATTTATTTAATTATTTTTAATAAATTTTTAATTTTTAACATTTATAATATTTTTATTCTTAAATTACGACTTACATTACAAACAAATTCTTCCGTTAAAGAACTGTAAGCAGATAAAAAGAAAAGAAAAAAAAGGACAGGGTGAGACGTGGCCTCCACAGACAGTGTCACGGTGGCACAGTTTAAATGGATAAGTTGGGAGGGAAGAGTTGAGGCAAACAATCATGTAGTCTTGTCTACTTTGTTATATGTCCGATTTCTGTCTCTTTGCTCAGCCACATGGCCAACGGAAAGGAACTGTGAAAGGACATTTTCACTGCTTTTTGGCTCCTTTCATTATCTCACCTCTACGTACATACAAAATTAGTGAAAACTCAAGCATGAGGTGGAGCGGCCAAAGCTCACTGAACAAGAACTCGTTTCCATCACCCAGCCATCAAGGGATTGATTCATGCCCAGGCTACAATATATTGAATATGCCTAGGAACAAAGGTTATCTGCTTCTCGAGGTGCAAATAAAATTTTGATAACTGAATGAGAACGGAGATTTTCTAGAACCATTTTCCTTCTTTTCTTCTACTTTTCCACTGTATGATTTTGAAAAAGTCATGAAAAAGATGTTGCAATGTGGACCGGTGCATTGCAGTTTGAATTGCAAAAAAGGGGTGTTGAAGAAAAAGATGGGAAAGAAAGGTTGGGATGAGGCCTACCCGAGGGATCTAAAGTCTTGAATTCTATATAATTTATGAATACTTTGGTTACGTTGGATAGAAATTTCGGTCTTTGTTTATGAGGAGTGACAAAACAATGTGCCTCTTAAAGTTTGTTTGACTTTGACAGCTTGCAAAAGGAGGCCAGGGCCAAGCCAAGCCTCCCTTTATCTTAGAGAACCAAAGAAACCAAAGTTGCTGCCCTTTATTGTTCTGACCAAGTTCTGTGTTTGGGGTTCGGTGGATGAAAAGATTTGAGGGGGTCCTCTCGCTCACCAACTTTCAACCGCTTCCCCACAATGCCTCAACACCCTTAGCACTCAGCCCTCAACCCAAAGGAAAAAAAAATGGAAACTGCTAATTCAATATATTTTTTTTTCACAAGAGACCAGAGATTGGATAAGGAAAGCATTAAAAGTGTTTGGAGTTGAATTTTAAATCTGTTAAATGTTATTTTTTTAAAGTGATTTTAAGAAATAATTTGAAGTAACATCCGATTTGCTAATTCAATATTGCTTATGTAGCTACTATTTTTTGGTACAAATGGCAGAAAATTGTTTAAAATTGAAATCTAGTAATCAAAGTTGCCCGGTGGAGAAAAAATTTCTGCTCTAATTTTGTTTTAGGATTAGAAAATTCTTGTTTTCAAAGTCTTCTGTCAGCTAAGGGGAATTTTACGCGGAGTGCTAAAAAGAATTCTTCTATGTTTGTCAACATGCCCAATTTGTACTTTCAAATCTCTTTGCCTTGAAAGTTATTCAGCTTGAAAAATGCCTCCACCAATCCCCCTTGACAATGGCAAAAGATGGAGGAACAAACAGTTAATTTCAATCATTTCCAAATGAAGTTGACAAATGCTTTCTTCTAACAATTGATGAATGAATATGTACTAGAACTACACATATTCCTTTAAAAGTAAATGTAGCCATGATTCTTTATCTTCTTCTTCTGCTAATGTGTAGACGGAGGTGGGGTGAATATTTACATCTTGCCATTTTCGTCCAGTACTCCATTTCAGGCTTTTCTCAACATCCATTGTGGTCCTAAGTGCAATGGTCCCTTTGCTAGAGAGTTAGAACATGGGACAAACTGCCCTAGTGAAGGATCTTACTGAACAAAACAAAGGCCCTGTCGGGTACTTTGCACCAGCTCAATGACTAGCACGTAGGGCGGTAATCTCCAAGAGCAATGATGAAACTTTTCAAGTCTATGAAACACGTTATGGACACCAGAGGATTTGATGATTCTCGAGAATATAACTTTATTGGTTAGAGATTAGAAGAAGGAACAAGATTCTCTCCCACCAAGACAACAATAAGACAAGTTGTAGCACTATAATTTTGAGGGCATGTTGCCCTTGGGTCCTGGTACAATTATGCCCCAATGTTCACTTTGTGCACGTGACATGGGGAATATTGCTCTAGCAGTTTAAAGATCAGTATGAAATCAGAGGCACATTATAACAATCCTTTTACAGCTTGTTTTGGTTTATCAGAAATAAGAACAGAATACAAGAAGAAACCAACGAACTTTAAGCCAAAGCACTTTTGGGTGATAAAGTATATTTTGACTCTATCACACAAATTGGTATGGAGGAAAAGCTTTAATGTCCCTTTCTATACAAAAAACTCTTTATTCTTTGGTTCTCTTTGTCAGAGTCCTTATCCAGCCGTTCCCCATCACCTTGACTCCCTCAACGTTGCTGCCCATGTGGCACGCATTGGCCTTCAGGACTTCTTCCACCTGATGAGCTGGAACAAGTGGCCAATCCGCTTTCGCCACCTAAGCGAGGCGCGTGGTTTTGCATGCTCTATCACACTCTTATTGGCCTCTTTTTGCTCCTTGATGGTCTCCTTGGTCAAGGTGGGTTTCCAGGAAATGCTGCAATGCTCAAATGAGACCTTAGAAACTGTATTCTTTTCCCATGAAGCAACACCATTCTCTTCAAACTTGATTGAGATAAAGGAATCTGCCAAAGTAGAATTCCAAGCAAATTTACTACAAATAAAATTACTTGAAGAAAATGAAAGAGAAAATCAAATAAAAGCTAAGGAAAAAGTAACAAATTTTATTTCTATACAGTAAAGTATATGTATTCTAGTACATCCACAAATTTGAAACTAGTTAGCTACATCAATAGTGGGCGCAAAACTAAAGAAATTTACAAAATATAGCCTCAAAAAAAAAAAATGTAAAAGGAAAGCCATCTTTACCAAAATTTTATTTGCTGAGGACATGGACATGAAAAAGGTCCCTCAGTGGATTCAGATTTGATGAAAATTTATATGATCTTTCTTGTCTTTATTGTTTCCATTACTACTAGGAAGTTGAATTATTGCATGATCCAACAAATAAATGGTAATGTTGTTTTGGTTACATCTGGAATGTTATAGTAAAGTTCTGAATTTTTCTGTTTGCATCACCTATCAAGTTCTGTAAATTTTCCAGATACAGGTCAGAAACAAAAGCCAATATACATAAATTATCCAATTAGAGTTGGATGGATTTGAAAATGCCTTCAAAAAATCATAGTATTTTCAAAGTCATTCTTGCCAAACATATCTTTCAGTTGATATAATACTTTTTCATGATATTCCCATGTTAAAAAAAAAAAAAAAAAACACATACAAACACACACTTTCATGTTGAGTAAGTGCTACCAGTTATGCAGGAGAATTACCTTACTATAACATTATAAAAGAAAAAAAAAATCAGAGGAAACAGAAGAAAACATGCAAAGATTCTTGATTTCCAGTTTTCTCATACTTTGACCACACTTATGTCATTACACAAACAATAATTTTACACATAAAGACACACATGCATGCATGTGATGCATATCTTTTTCATGTTATGTTTTGATTTTAATTTTTTTTCCTACTGTTGATGGAAATTCAAGAACACAAAAAAAAAAAAAAAAACTGTTTTTGCATGAACAATCCTGAACAGGTAAAAAAAAGCAGGAGAGAGAAATTAGAAATTAAAAGGGTATTACCATCTTGACTGGTTGAAATATCATGATCATCAGAATTTTCAGATTTCCAATGCTTGAACTCAAGACGATTGAGAAGTGAGCCTAAAGCAAAGATCTTGGGGAGGTTGATGGGAGGTTTCTTGTGAGAAACACCTTGAAGAATTCCAAGGCTACCTCTGCTGGATGATGAAGAGCGTTGGCCTCGCTTCGAAGCTAAGATAAGAAGCCTCTCATTTAAGCACAAAGGGCAAATCCCAACAACTACTTCTTTAGGATGGAAATAGCAGCATGAAGTGTCTTCCCTACACCCATTCATGATCATATGGTGTTAGAACTTTGTACCATAAAGAAGAGAAAGAGCAAAGAGAGGATTAAAAAGGAGTAGAATTGGTGCTGATTGCTTATATTGTAAAGATCGTCGTGAGATTGACCCTACCAACACATCAGTTTGGACAATGGGTTTTTGTACAGCTATCTACATTGAACTACTTTGAAGGGATTTTTTTTAACCACCCAATTTATTTGCTTTGACGTGAATGTTTTGGTTTCAATATATGTTCAATTAGACCCATTCTTCTGCCAGGCAAAAGACAAAAAAAATTTTGAAACAACTGAGAAAGGGAAGAGAGAAAATAAAGAGTTTTATATTATTGAAAAGTTATCTAATACATCATGAGTGAAGTTTTGTATTGGTATAGATTTTAAAAACTCAATAAATTAATGTAACCAAAAAAATCTATGATAACTTTTTATCAACTTATAAAATTTTAAAAATTATTGATTGTATATATAAAACAATAATTTTTTTGGTTTATGGTTAAGGGATTTTTGGGTTTTGATCAATATATCTTTTCGAACATATTCAAATAGATTTATTTACTTTACGATAAATTATTTTCTTATAAATTTTTAATGAATTTAAAGTTGTATGACAAAGAAAAAATACATTTTAATTTGTCACTTGAATCAACTTTGATAAAAGAATCTTCACTTGCACTAAGAACTAGACAACAGTTTCTATTTTTATTTTCCCAATTTGTTGTTGAGATTTCCGTAATTTGCCTGATTTAGTAGTTGGGTTGCTAGTTTTAGAAATTGGGAGTGAATGTAATGAATAAATTTAGCATCTCATGATAATGCAAAATCCAAGTCTCCACAAAAATTGGTTTGGTGCTTGGATTGTGATTGCGAATTAAGTCAAATATTGAGATTCCCAATTGATTTTGAGGCCATGTAAAGGAACAAGATGTAGGGAATTGATGTAGCCCAAGACATCTGAGAGTGGGAAAAGCACCTGTTTTATAGTACTATTTAACAAAATCCCATGCATTTAATGGGATTGTCAACTTTTATTGAGGTCTCCCATTAATTTTATGTTTTCAAAAGTAGTCAAATTGCTCTATAATATTTGATTTATAAGATGATTTAAGTATAAGAAAAACCTTTAAAATAAAATTATTAATCATTCAAGTTTTTATCATTTTATTGTAATCAATTAACTTCTCAAATATTTATTTTCATTTAATTAAACTTTTATTAAACGAAAATTAATCGCTTATCAACACTTTTTTTCGTTTAATCGTAAATTCAATTGAATAAAAATATATATTTAAAGGATCAATTTGATGAAAATAAAAATTATTTAATTTTAATTTAAAATTTTTATATTTAAGCCTTTATAACATGTTATATATATATATATATATGTATATATATATATGTTAAAACCCTTTGCAATTTAGGTTCTTACAATATTTTTTTTCAAACTATTATACAAGTTATCCACTGTTAAGCAAGGTGGGTGAATTATACCAACTTCATTGTAACAATTCTAATCAGCACTATAGGTAACTTTTAATTGACAATTTAAATCAAGTCTCATTCTATGCTTTTTTTTTTTTTTTTCTCTTTTCATTTAAATCCTGTGATCTACATAATTTTGTCACTAGTGCAAGCATTCCCTCATTGACATATCGTTTGTGCTCGTGCATATGTACGTGTGAGAAGGGAATTAAAATAGAAAGAAGAAAAAATATTGTAAATGAGGGAATATAATATATATATATATGTATATATATAAAGGAAGAAAGGAAGAGGGTGCGTTGAGTTTGAAGCGTCCATAGAACACATCCTAAAAGGCTTAAAAAAGTGGAGGGAAACAATCAAAGTCATAGTCACATGGGGAGAAGAAGGAGCTGTTTCCACTTTTGGTTGGCTCAGAGTCAAGTTTCACATCATCATTATCATGGGCCTAATTTTAGCTATGGGATCGTGGGTCTCCTTCCACCCCACTTTAATGTAGTCTTCTCCATACTTTGCACCAACTCCACAATACTCTTTTTTTCTTCCACTTTTTCTTTTTTTTTTCTCTCTCTTTCTAGCAAACTAAAAATCTAGTTTGTTTGAGTTACATAAATAAAAGTAATTAACTTATGATTAGTTTAAGTGATAAAAAAGTGTACTTTTTTTTTTTAAAATTTAATTCGAATTCATTAAAAAATTATGAAAAAATAATTTTTTTTATAAATTTATTACAATCAACATAAATAAATCTGTTTGAATCAATTTGAGAAAAAATTGTATTGGACACAATAAAAAATTCCCCTCAACAAAAAAAATATAAATAATTGTTTTCCATTTTATAAGTCTCATTTTTTTAATTCTCGAAATTCATATTGAAATTTCTAAAATGAATTATGGATGCAAGAATATTTTTCATTTGAGAGAGACATTATGGTTCAAAAATAAGTAGCACAAACCTTTGGGCATTGGCTCATAATGAGATACTTGGACCGGAAATTAAGATGTCATCTTCCTTGAAACTCCAAATCTCTCTCTTTTTTTTTTTTTAATCGTTCTTAGAATACTGTCTTGACCTCTTCAACCAAAACCCACTTTGGTATCCATTATGCCATTGGTTAGTAAATCAAGCAGATGAAATGAGTTAATCATTGTACAGCGCATTTTCCAGGCTCCCCAATAGGCAGCATGCGCAAACCAGACCCTTTCCTCTTCATTTTTCTGTTTCCCTTTCCTCCTAAACTAAGCAAAATCTATTCTTCATTATTACGTGGTATGGTTACAATTTCAGTTATCATCAACTAGAACTTCATAATTTAGATGACCAGAAAAACCAGCGTTTTTCTTTACTTTCTTTAGAATAAAACATGATTTGCAATGATAGAATTAAAAGAAAGAAAATACGAGTACAAAAGGAGTGTATAAATCTAGGATTGATCGTATCATCATCTTACACTAGTCTTCCATTCTTCAAGATATGCACGGTCATTATTGAAAGCAATTAGTCTTCTTAAAACTATCATGTATATAACTTACCCAGGTCTTCGGACAAAGCTTTTCTAATGGCTTCTCTCTTGATCTTGAGAGCTGCAGTGACAAGGCCAGATTCTGGAGTCCATGGTGTAGAAAGCAATTTGATTTTTGCTGGAATCTCAAACTTCTCCAAACGTGACTTCTTGGCAATCTGCAAATAAAAGCAGTAGTGGAAAGGAAGGTGATGGAGACAAGAATCAGTGAAAATGTAAAATCAGATTATTAGCAGCCTTGATTCTTGTGGCAGCACAACTCTTCACTACTTTCTCCATCAAAGACACCCAGAGGGTATGTTCAAAGAGATGGGAATACAATATCTCTGTTTTATACATGAAAGTACATGCAAATTCATAAGTTTTTTATACAAACTACATCAAAGCTAAAGCAGCACTTGAAAAGGAATCCTTAAAATACCATTCTATAACAAGATAGGCAAAGTACATCAGGTAGATAAAATTTTAGCATCGAATGTATTATCATATATGAGTGATCGTAAACAGATGGAAAAAGTAAATGTCACCACCTGATAGTTCCCTAAGTTTAAAGAATTTGTTGCAATATGTAAAAAGCAAAGAGTACAAAATGTTACAGTTTGCTGCAAAAGTACATGCATATCCAGACACCCTCCTCAAAGCTTAAATCTTTTTATATAATTTTTTGGATAAATTTGATTTCCTAACATCAGGGTAAATTCTAAATCACTGGAATTTTATTCTAGAAGTAGAGATATACCTGAACAAGAGACGAATGTACTTCTCTGACAGTTTCTTCTTTCTCACACAAGTCTGCAAAATCAGTAAAAGCAATTCCTTGCTTTGAAGCCCAATCTTCCACTGCATGCTGAGAAGCCACCACAAGAGCCACACAATAACTACGGAATGGATCAGCATGCAACATAATATTGTCAACATAGGGACTGATGCTGAGAGCAGCCTCAACCTGCAGGTGAAATATTTGTTACCGTAAAACATCGGAAAAACATCTTTGTTTTGCTAGAAACATCCATTCATAACCATACCTTTCCTAAAGAGACGTACTCCCCATGCTGAAGTTTGACTATGTCCTTTTTACGGTCAATTATCTCAAGGCAACCATCAGCGTGAAACTGTCCTATGTCACCTGTATAGAACCACCTCATTCCTCTCTCATCAACCTTTTTCCATACCAAAAGATTAAAATAGTTAGTTTATTAAGATAGAAAGGAGAAAGAAAAAGAGGATCTATTGTAGGTAATCTTAAAAATAAAGAGAAAGAAAAGGAATGTGGAAATTGAAAGTCCGAAAGCCTGCCTTGTACACTTCTTTTGTTTTTCCTTCATTTTTGAAGTATCCAAGTGTTACACTCGGACCACCAATCACTATTTCTCCACGAGGCATTGGTGAATCACTAGTTAAATATCCACCTTCAGGCCAATCTATTAACTGAAATAAACAAAATGTAATGCAATATGATTGGAATCAGAAATGTTTATACCAAGTGGAATAAGTAATCACATCAGTATGAGATGTGCAGAGCAATAATCCCACAACATAATCTTATAGAGAGTGGAGAGCAAGGAGAAAATGAAGCTTTGGTCACACATAGGTTCAGTGAAAGACATGCGCAAACACACCCATAGATGCCAAGTATTCACATGAAACAAAGCTCCTCAGATAGGCAGGGCTTTTAGGCAACAGATTTACCACTGGGTTTGTATGATACCAAAAGAAAAGTGATGCAGGGCAATAACCTTCACATGGAAATTATAATTAGGGACATATTGCTTACCACTGCCAATAACATCAACTACAAGTACCATGGAAGTCCATTCTCAATGCTTCTAGTTTCAACCAGTATGAATGGATTTTTCAGATTATCATGGATTTGTATATTTAAAGCAAATTAATAACCCATTTAGTTGATTTCAAATGAAAAGGCATAAAATTTAACCACCGAATAGTGACGAAAAGCAAATGCAGTAAACAGAGTCCCTTAGAATATTAGGGCAAAGCACATGAGCTGGTCAAAAGTCATCCCACTCAAACTAGAAAAAATAATCATATCCTCTCTTACCTTAACAAAGGAGCAAGGAAGTGGGGAACCAACACGACCAACAGATGTATCATCAACCTCAGAGAAGGTGGCACCAGCACAAGTCTCAGTTAGACCATACGCTTGACCAATTGGAGCACTGAAAAAAGAAATCCAATGAGTATGATACTTACAAAATTAAATAAAACTGTGCAAGAAAGAAAATTGTCAGTTTCCCTGGTGATGATAGTATCTCCATGGTGATCACACACCAAGAACCTATTTGTCATCACAAGCATTTTTAGCTATTGTTATACCGTATAAGCTACTTATATATCTATTTGAGCTTACCATCTATGATAAAAAAATAAAATAATAAAATAAAATAGACCTTCCATCCAAAGAATATTCATGCCTACCTATTTCTTTAATTCATTCACATCATTTTGATGACTTGGTTTCTAAAGAAGCTTTCATTTTAAAAAAATCTAATTAATGACATTTAAAATTATCAAGGACATATCCAGTACAATATTGAAGTTCTTCAAAGCTATCAGAATTGATCCAAATTGTTTGAGAACATAACATGACGTTATCTCCTATAGTTAGAGCAGCTTGTTTCTAATAATTGCCAACTTCAACAAATGTGTCATGTGAATTTAGCAATAAAGCACCGTTCTTCATCTGATTACTTTAGGTAGAATTACAGTTGAACTAAATGCACTGAGCTGCAACTAATTTTATTGCATTCGGTCAATGTTATTTAAGATTTCCTTTTTTTATATCATTTGACTAAATTACCCCAATATTTTAGTTAAAATCATGCCAGTCTTCGTTCTAACTCTTATTGCATGTGAAATCGCTATAAAATCATATAGTATATTTTATAAACCTGCACATAAAATTTTCATTTCATCAAACAACACCTTAATTAAATTTAGAACAGCAATTGTTAGAGAACTACAGAAATGAGCATGTGTGTTGACTGTGAGCTTGTGTGTTTGAGTATGCAAGAGCAGCACCAGTGGATCCATAAATATATTTTATATAAAGATCAACTAAAATTTCTTGAAACATACTAACCCAAGGCAGATGTTTATAAATCTCTGGGTATCTGCCGATAAAGGAGCACCACCAGACAGCAAAAATCGAATGCGACCACCTAGAATTGCTCGGACCTTTTTAAAGACAAGAAAGCCCCATAGAAACTTTTCCAGACCCCAGGCACCAAACCAACTACCATTTATTGCAGATAATCTACGGGAATAAGCCAAGTCAAACAATTTCTTGGATAGTCCACCCTTTGCATCTACCTAAAGTTTAAGATTCAATAATGATTGAAATGAGCTTATGTTAACAATATATATAAATATAAAGAAGAAGTCATACTTTTAAAGAAGTGAAATTTTCTAACCTTCTTTCGTACTCCATCTCGAACACGATCAAGAATTGCTGGGACAGCTGCCATTACGGTTGGACTCAACGCAGTGGCATCCCCCTTTGTTCCCACTTTTATCTTGCTAGATGAATCGGTGAGAGTCAAAGGGGTTCCATATCCTATGACACCTCCAACAGCAGGAATTAAATTCTACAATTGGAAAAAGAAAGTTAAAAATGTTTAAACACACTTCAGGTAAACAAATTTGAAATATAATCAGAGATCAAAACCAAGTTCCCATTAATCTTTGTAATGCCATCCAAGACAATATACATACCTCAGCCGCTAATTCAAGAATATGAGCAAGGGGTAGATATGCAAGATAAACATCCTTGCTTCCAAGTCCAGGAACAATTGTCATGATTGCAGAAACAGTAGCCAGTACATTGCCATGTGTCATCATCACACCCTGTGCAAATTTGATATATTTGAAGAGGCTAAACAATAAGGAAGCCTAATCGTAACCATTTTGCATACCTCAAAGATAACATCAGGTTAAATACCAATTCACTAACCATAAGCATATTTTACGTACAAAATCTATAAGAGAACAGAAGAACCAGAACCCAAAATAGACACTTCTAACCTTAGGCAATCCAGTACTTCCACTAGTATACATTATAACTGCAACATCAGCTGAAAGAGGTAAATCAGCATCAACAGGATTTTCATGGCCGACTGTCTCAACATTAACAAAAGAAGTGATTGTCCATCTATCACTGGCACTAGTTGGAATTTCATCATCCATACAGATCACACGTTTGACAGTGTCAAGTCGCCCACTAATGTTGACAAGTTTTTTTAGTTCTTTGTTCCCACAAATCACTGTTGTAACTTCAGTCTGGCAGAGCAAAGATTATATAAATAAATAAATATGAGTAACAAATGTGGAAAACCATACAAATATTCACTAGCCAATTAACAGAGTGAATCACCTCTTTTTCTACTCGGTTGCTCGTTATAAGAAACAGGGAATACTGTTGTGATATATGGTTACCTCACTAACCTTGTGAAGAGTGTATTACCAACATAGCACCTTAACTATAAATATCAATTCTAACAAGCTCAACCATATGATATTTTTGTCATGAATAAAAAGAAACTTAGCAAATATTATTGAAAGGATAATCAACTACTTGCAGACCCTAAACAATTTATTTAAACATCTAAGAAATAAGAAAACACAATTCACCAATTAGGCAAGCAAATCAAGAACAGATGTAGCTTCTTAAGGGCTGATAAAAAATATTAGTGCAAGCAAAAGTTAACTATTTTGCAGATAATAATATTGATTTTGTTACTATAGGCAAACTAAAAATATAATTTTTGTTGTACTAGAACTGGTAGCTAAGGAAGACAGAAAAATTATGAAAATACAAACATGTGCATACAGAGAGAGAGAGAGAGAGAGAGAGAGAGAGAGAGAGAGAGAGAACCTCATTTAATGAGTAACATAAAGCCTCCTCCCCTAAAGATGCATATATTGTTACCACAGTAACATTGCGCCTAAAGCAAGCCTGAAAAAAGTACATATATCATTTATATTATCTAATTTGTGGAAGGCAAAGGAATGGCATGAGTTACACCTCAATTAAAACTTAAAAGTTAAAACTAACAGGCTTGAAAATTAAAAGAAAATTTCAGGAGATATAAGTAAGACCTGCAGTGCAATGAACCATTCTTCTCTTGTATCAGCAAAGATTGCCACACGTTCTTCTTTTTTATGACCAAGATGAACTAATCCAGAAGCAAAATTGCACACAGCTTCAAAGGCTTTTCCATATGTCAACCATTCATATTCTCCCAAATGAAGCTTTTCAAAGGATCTTCCATCTTCAGTTACTTCAACCTCCCTTGAAATCAATTTCCTAGTTCCAAGCAAGCGTTTATCGTAATGTTGCTTGCATGCCTGCTCAAAAAGTTCTGCGAGAGTAGATATACCTTCCCATGCTGTTTCAACAAGGGATGGAAACCGACTGTTTCTGATTGCATACCCAGGCTCCCCGCCAACATCAACAGGCACCCCTCGCTTCTTCACCTTGTTGGAATTGCGAAGGAGAAGAGTAAAAAGTATAGGGACAAGCGCACCAACAATATAACCACTCATATTTATAGGATTTCGTGCCCCCATCAGAATCTACCTCTTTCAGTTCTCCTGAAAACAGAATCACATTCAACAATCATGATCATTAACCAAAAATAAATACAAGAAAACTTTAAAGTCCTTTTCCTTTTTCTTTTTTTTTTTTTTTTTCTGAATAGCTTAGGAAAGTAGAATATTTGCAAGATTGCAATAAACCAAATAGAAAGTAGCAGGGTAAAAAAAAAACAGCCAAAACCACATGAAAGTTTTCTTCCCCATAACAAAAATAAATCTAAGGCAGCTACCAGCCAAGCCAAGCATGACAAGTGCATATGCATCTGCATAGCGAGAGAGACAGAGAGATCACTTTCTTGTAACATGATAGATTTTTTCCCAAATAAACTGCTTACGAGGAAACAGATATGGACACAGAACGAAATCGAAATTTCTATTATGATTATCACCTTCATAACTCGATATTGTTTCAACTTTTAACCAAGCAAGCAGAATACTAATTTTTTTATATATTCATAACTCTAGTATTATACTATTTACTAGTCGATATTCTGGCTGCTGACTTCCATCAAAAGGAAGTTTCCTGGGTGCTGAACTATTTTATATGTTTCCACAAAACTTTTTACCCTTTTTCTGCATTCAAGGGACCAATCATCAAAAGGAACAAGAAAAGGCCTCATGCTAATTAAAAAGAGATAGAAAAGAGTAAACAAACATTGCATAAATTCCAGAGTCAAAAAATCAATTCAAACGGTATGTAATCAAATCACAAACAAAATTTCAAATGATATAAAGAAAAGGGAAATTTTAAGGCAGTCCATTAAATCAAAGAACCCACATTTTCAACAATGGCCAAAAAACGAAAAATCAAAACAAAAGGGTGACATTAAAAGAAAGGCCAAACGAAAAAAAAAAAAAAAAACCCGTTCGGGTAAACAGGCGTGTGATTCCAAATACCTCGAAGCTGAAGCTCAAATATTGGGGAAAGCAAAGGGACCCACTTCAAGTGATCAGCATCACAAGAAGACCAAAACAATGGGGGTTTCAACAAAAAGGGGCTTTCAGCTATTTTTCAGTAAGAGATCAAAACAAGACGTTTACTAAAAGGGTGGTTAAATTTGCGCGGAAAGATCGAGAAAGAAAGAGGTTCACTTTCAGAAGTAGTTTACTCTGAAATGAACAGCGTCAGTTTGGGACTAAGCAGACGCCATCTGAAGTTCAGATCACTGTGTTTAAAACTTAGAACTTAATAAGGTTGAAACGCAAGGTGGTGGATGGGGTGCATATGGCTGTGGGCCATCTGCCATGCATAGTTCATTACTTTCTTTTCAATCAATCTTCAATTGCTTACCCCCAATTATAATTGCAGCAGAATTTACATGGTGGATTGGCAGGGGACCAAATAATAATCGTATGAAAGTGATTTTTTTTTTTTTTTAGGTTTGTTTCAAATTCTTTTTGTGATTAGAAATTTTTTGCCAAAAAAACTTACTAATATGCCTATGTAATTTTATATAAATATATAAAAATTAAAATCTTTGATAAATAAATAAATAATTTATCGTGAATAACTTATATTTTTAACATATAAATAAGTTTAAAGATCACAATGTTCTTTAATAAATATATTTTATTTATTTAAAATATTTTAATTTTTTTTATAGTAACATTTTTATTACTTAAAAAATTAGTTAGAATAAATTAATTGTATTTATTACATTTTAAATATTTAATATTTAAAACTTATATGAATAAATTACAATTAATTTGATCAATAATACAGATAAAAAAAGAAACTAAATAAAATATTAATTATTTATGAATATTTTTTCATATTTTTTCATTTCTTATGAGAAATTAAATTAAATTTAATGTAGTAAATTAAGAAATAAAAATGAGTCATTTAATGAGTTGACAATAATGATATAATTAAATTATAAAAGATTTTGCTTTTTTTTTTTTAAATAGCAAATTAGGTAAGAATTCAAATTTTATAATTTTGAAGGGGAAATTGCATTAATGCCATTCCTTTATTACTTATTATATTAGATGATTAATAATAGTAAATTTTTAATACATTTATGATAATTTTTTTATAATATAAATATAAATATTTTTCAAAAAAAATATTATGCAAATCGAATTTAAATATTCTCCAATTTTGTTTTATTACAACTTTATCTCTATTGTCTTATAAACAAATTATTTTGTACTCTTGTTTGCTATTATTTTGTAAGTTTATTAAGATTTTACTATTTTTGTTTTGAGCAATTGTTAAGTTTTATTTTTAGAATAGCAATTTTATCAACTATATATTTTAATATATGTTTTTTCTTTTTTAATTTATAATTTAAAAGTAAATCTTTGATATTTTTATATATATTTATATATATATATTGAATGTGATGTTGTTAAAATTTTATTTTCTTTTGCAATATATTAATTAATATAGGTTTAATAAATTTCATTTATTTTAAAAAATTATTTATAAGATTATATTGATTTGTAAGGTTTTACAATAAGTTGCTAATGATGATTGATTAATTTTGATACTATCATACTAGAAGACTATACATTAATTGGAAACGAAATTATAAAAATTCTCAAATATTATATTATAAAACAAATCGGCTTAAATAATATAGTTGATTATGACCCAACTAAATATCCATTGGTTTCAATTGAAAATGAAAAATTTATTTTATAAGTTCATAGTTAATGAAGGTTTAGATGATGTAAGGGGTGTTAGTTTGTAATTTTTAAAAATTTTATAAAAAATGAAACAAATTATTATATTTAGTAAAATTTACCACTTATTTCATTTAATAATTCCTAAAATTTTAAAAATATTAAAACTATAATTGAAACTCTTATACCCAAAATTTTGTATTCTTTTATGTATTTTTTTAGATAAATATTCTTAATTCGATTTTTTTAAAATAAATATTTCAAAATACCATATTGATAAGCTACCAATTCATAACAAAAACACAAAAAATGTTAAAATAAAAATGTTAATGGTTTGGCTTTAACATAAGTTCAACTCTTTCATAATATAATATAATATAATATATATATATATATTAATACAACTCTTTCATCTTTGGATAATTAAGGGATTTATTTATTTATCCAAAATATGAAATGAAGGTAAAAATAAAATACATTAAAATCAATTTTTTTATTAATTTCGTAAAAAACAATACAATCCAAATATTTTAAGAATAAAAAGTATTATTATTTCTTTTATATTCACTCTCTTATAAAAAAAAAAAAAAAAAAAGCTAAAAAAGTGCGGCTATTGGGCTTTCGAAGAATTTAGATCCAATCATTTTGGAACTATGCGAAATCAAAATTTTTTACATTTGAAAAATTTTAAGTTTGGTTAAAATATGTCATAGGTTTTTGATATTTTTTATTTTTATAAATTTAGTTTTTATAGTATTATTTAAAAAATTTTAATCTTTATAATATTATTTTTAAAAATTTTAATTTTTATAATATTATTTTTTTTATAAATTTAATCTTTTTACATTATTAATGATTGAACTAAAAATTTTTTAAAAAATATTATAATGATCAAATTCTTTTAAATAATACTAGAAAAATTAAATTTTTAAAAATAAAAAAATACAAAGACTGATGAGTTTGACTTTTAAATTTTAATTATTTTAGATTTAAGTTATTTAAGGTTTTAACCAAATTATTAATTTTTAAAATTAAATTAATTTAAATTCAAATAATTTCAAACTAAATTTCAAATTATTTGAATTTAAATTATTTTATGTTTGTTAATTCAAATTCAAATCTTTTTCAGATTAAATTAAGTGAGTTTGAATGGTTACTTTTTCCTGATAAAATCCTGCTGATTGATCCCGTATTTTGTCCCTTGTGTCTTAAATTGTTGTTTCCTACGGTCACTTAGAATTAAAATATTAATTTTATCTAAATTTAAAGATAAATTATTTTTTATTTTAATGAAAATAAGATAAATTTTAAATTTTAAACATAAAAATAAGGATAACTTTGATTTTAAAATATTTAATTAAATTATATATATATTAATAAATTAATTTTTATTTAATAATATAAAATTTTTTTTTAAATTTGTTAAAACTAATATATTTGTATTTAAAAAATACATATTTATAAAAAATTATTCAAATGTAAAAAATTAAAACTAAAATTTTAAAAAAATTTAAAAAATTAATAATATAAAAATTATTTATATCTATTAAATACTTATAAAAATAAAAATAAATTTATAATATTTATTAATGAGCCACTCCAAAGCACCCACACGGCCTCGGGTTAACCATTATTTATTACAGTAAGAGCTTGGAAAAGACAAAAAACCCACATGACGCATTATAGTATTTATAGTAGTCACCTGGGTTCAGAGGAAGACATGTAACATTTATGGCTCTCTGACAAAAAGATAATATCTAATTTTCTCAGTCTGAACTGAGACAGACTGAGTGCATGGACAGAAGATTTTGACAAAATTAAAACATTATTAAATGTTATCTCTCATATTAATTTTTATTTTTATTTTATTTTTTAAAAACATTATTTGATAATTTTAAAATAAAATAATATTTTATGGATTTAAATTTTAAATTTCTCTATTTATAATTTTTATCAAGTTTTTTATATCGAATAAAATTAACGTGATCCAATAAGTTTTGAGTATAAGATTTTACTAATGATATTATAAATAGAGTTAAATAAATATACACGTTATATATATTTTTATATAAAAAATTATTAATAAGTGATTAGTTTAATCAATTAAATTTTTTTTTTCAATGAAAAAATTTTGAGTTCAAGTCTTGTTAATGATTATTTATTAGAGTAATCTCGAATATACAACCTATAGTTACTTATCTTAAACTATCAATTCAAAAATTATAAATTTATTTTTTATAAATTTTTAAGATTTAAAAAAAAAGTTAATTTTGTTTAATATTTGATCTCAATAATAAATTTTTTTGATCTATTTTAGCCTTGCAAATTAACATAATTACATGATAAATGGAGTTCCATTTTGACACAAAAATGGGTATTCATAACCACACAATTTGGTAAAAGTATAATTTTAATCACATAATTGGATACCTTACACATGATTGAAATATAAAATATTACATATAATAAAAATAAATTAAAAAAAAAAACAAAATGTAACAAATAGCAATAATTTTATATTTTATATTTTATATTTAAAAATTTACTACGTTCTTCATATGAAATATAATAGATAAATTAAAATAATAAAAAATAAAATAAATATTATCATATCAGCGATATTTTTTATATTAAAAATGTAATAATTAATATAATGTTATAAAATAATATTTATAATACATAAAAACATAATATTTACTAATAAAGATTATTTTTTAATTTGAAAACATAGTTAATAATTTATTAAAAATTATCAAAAATTACATTTTTTTGGTTTTAAAATGTAATTGATAATAAACAAAAATAACATAATAAATTTATATTTAATTAAATATTTTAATTATATTTTTTAATCAAAAACATAAAATTTAATATTATAAACTATATTTTTGACAAAAAAATAATATTTAAAAAATGACAAAGACAAAAAGAGGCTTGTTTTCCAGGAAAGCAATGAAATCAGTGCCCATATCATCATTGTCTTTGCCTATAGCAATTATTTGTGCCTATGTGAATGCCTATGTCATCATTGTTTTAGTGGCAAGTAGGGCAAAGACTACGTTCTTTCCAATCAACTTGGTATTTGTTTAATAAACGAAGCGTTTGTACACTGTTTGTGAGTTGTGCAAATGACTGTGTTTATATTTTAACAATCGCAATATTTGTATAATTGTTTTATTAAAAAATTACGTTATTTTCAATGAAAACGTCGTTTTTAATAAAAATTATATTTCTAGATATATAAATGTACATGTATAATTTTTTTAATTAAAAATTGTGCTTTTACTCTAAAAAACATATTATATTTAATTTTTAATTAAAAATTACATTTTTATTTTAAAAACATAGTTTTTGTACGTTTAATTTTTTTTAAAATTAAAGATCACATTTTTACTTTAAAAAAAATAATTTTTGTAAAAATGAACCAGATTGTTTTTAATATTATAAAAATAAAAAACTTATTTATTTTAGCTATTTAATGGTTATCATATGATTAATTTTAATAATATAATAAACAATTAAAATATTGGTCATATGTAATTTATATGTAATAAAAGGTATTATAATAAAAAATTGTTATTATGTCATTCGAAATTCTTTCGAATTAAATAAAAAAGTTTATCATTCTCATAATAAAAAATTCACATTTTGTAGGAATTCATGATCTTTTAAAATAAATTTTTCTCATAATTTAAGATTTCACAAACCGAACGCCTCTAAAATCTTAAAAGGGTTAAAAAAAAGCATGTAGATATAAGTTAGTTGGTTATCTAATCTAAACTGAACAAAAAGATATTTGAATTATGAAGCAAATAAACTATATAAACAATAACTTAATATTGAAAATGCATAACATTCTGAATATATAAGAAGGATGAATATCAAAATGCACCACCAATTATAAATAAATCTTATGTAGCATTTCAAGACACAAAGACAAAGTAATGTCATTTTACAAACAATATCTCAATCTTAAGAATTCCTTGCATCATCCAAATCTCAAATGAAAATAAATCCCAACTCGGTGGGAGATGCAAGAAGAGACGGCAAGCATAAGCAAGAGCCAAACATTTTTTATGTTTTATATTTGGTGAAAGATAAAGAGTGTAAATAAAAATAAATTAAGTTTTATATTTGATAACTCTGAGATCAATTGTATAAAAAGTCGTAATTTAAATTTTTTTACGTCACTTATTTTTATTAAAAATAATATTTTCATCTATTTTCTTAACTTTTATATAATTTATTATTACTTGCATCATATTTTTTATGATTTATTTATAAAAATTTTAGTTTCTCTCAAATTTAAAAACTCATTTCTTTTAATCGGTGCACTATATTTCACATATCCAAATTATCTCAAACGAGTCGCTCTCATTTTGTCATGCATTCTCATGCCAACAAATGCATCCGGGAAAATATCGAATGCATGAATCATATATATTATTAAAAAATTAAATCAGCACTAGCTCATTTTGTCTCCTCCAACAATGCGCAAATCCGTTTTTGGCAAAAGAACTTCGGAAAAGAAAACAATGTTTGCCAGCACTCACCTTACTCTCCTGTATAGGATTTTGCAAAATGACATCCATTAGCTGGTGAGACACTTCCTCGTTTAGAATATGAGTCATTATAGACAAAACATCTTTGATTAAACTCTGTTGATGGTGATCTCATAGAAGAAAGAAAAATAATGTTGTTACTACTCACTATCATAGAATATACAAAGTAGTAAATGAAAACAATAGTAGTAATGAAGCAATAAGCAGAGGGGGTTTGAAGAAAACTATGGTCAGTATATATATAGTGATCATGGAACGAAAATCCAGACACACAGTTGAGGCAATAAACGCTCCACATAACACAATGATTTGCATTTAAAGTAATGGAAGTTCACCGGTGAAACATTTCACTGCCATCCAACAAGAAGAAGAAAAAGACGTAAAATTCAAAGCTACAATAAATTTAATGGAGGCTCGCAGGTCAGAAATAAGTTACTAAGATCTGAATAGTGAGTAGTACTTGAAAAAGTTATAAGTTTAACTTGAGAGGCAAGAACAATGAGAGTTAATTTTTTATCATGCATGTTTATCTTGAATTAAATGATTATGACTAAAAACTGTAACATTATCTCAACTCCAGTCAAAGTAAGTTTCCATTCAACGACACATAAAACCCTTGTAGATTAAAAACTGTAACACTTTCTCAACTCCAGTTAGAGATAAGGAACTTGACCTCACAACTCAGAAAAAAATACTAAACATTTCAAGAATCAAATAATTGTAGTCAATATCCAGCGTTATCACACAACATTTACATCAAGCAACAGTCTCCAATATATATTTTAACCCTTCTTGAGAAGAATGCGATTGTGTTATTAGCATGAACATACTAAGAATGAGTCTAAATATGTTCTGAAATGAAAGAGTTCGTAAACCTGAATGATGTACAACAGTAACCATAAAGAATACTAGTATCAAAATTATTCGCTGTGAAACACTGGTATTCGACAGTCCTAGAAATTTGTTTGAGAAGATTCACTTTTCTTTTTCCAAAAAAGAGAGAGAAGAAATTTATGCTTACACGGAGAGATTTGATAAGGGCATCTTTGTTAGGGCAAGTCCAGAGAAGAAGAAGAAACTTCCACGGATAGATTTGACGACTTCTTTGTTAGGGCAAGCGAGATGGCCGAGTTTGGTACCGATTCCAGAGATGAGTTGCAATGTAGACTCGTTTAGAAGAAGAGAATAAACTTACACGGAGAGATTTTGACAAGGACATCTTTGTTTGGGCGAGCGAGTTGTCCGAGTTTGGTGCTAATTCCAGAGATGAGTTGCAATGTAGACTCGTCCAGGAAAAAAAGAATAAACTTACAAAGAGAGATTTGACGAGGACATCTTTGTTTGGTGCCAAAGAAAACGCTTGGAAAGATGGAAGAGAGGAGGAATTGAATAAACGGGAAAGGGATGCCCCGGTTTAAGTGGAGAGAATCCGCCTTCGGATGCGCGTGCTTTTACTTTTCTTATTCTTACTATCCTAAATTGATACAGCTATTTTCTAAGCCCAAATCAAACTTGATCTCCTACTCATTGTAGGATATGTAATATTTTAAAACATTGTACTATATAAATTAATCTTATTTGTATCCAATTGAGTCATCGACTTAAAAAATTATCATCGAGGATGTCAAACCATAGAATTATTCCGATGGATGTAGGGTGCGGTATATTGAGTCAGCTTCCCGTCAAGGCTCTTCTCCGTTTCAAGAGCGTGTCAAAAGAATGGTGTTCCCTAATCAATGATCCCTATTTCATCAAACTCCATCTCAGACAATCAATGGAAACCAACAGGAATAATCTCAACATCATTCTTAAAGAAAGAATATCCGGTAAACTCCTCTCCGTAGGCTTTGATTCCGTCAATCTCGACAATCCCAGAGAACTCGATCACCCGTTGAAGCGTCGACCTGGTGCAGTACCTGATGATGATTATGATTATGATTATGATTATACTCAAGTTGTGGGTTCATGCAACGGGTTACTCTGCTTAACCACTTACGATCAAATATATGGGACAGTCGTGTTGTGGAACATCTCGACGGGGGATTACAAAGTTTTACCCAATGAGCTGGTGAAACTACCACCGACATGGGGCGAAGTTGAGCAAGTGACCTTCTACGGGTTCGGGTACGACTCCATCAATGACGACTACAAGCTAGTAAGGATTGTTCAAGACATTGACTTGTCAAGAAGCCCTCCGCTCCTAGTTGAAGAAGTAAAAGTTTACAGCCTTAAAGCAAATACATGGAGAAGGGGTGAAGAAATCCCTAACCACTACTTTCTTCAGCACTTTTCGAGAAAGGTCGGTACGTTTGTTTGTGGGGCTTTACATTGGCTTGGAATCAAAGAAAGAACATGGGAATCTCCCAGCAGCGTCATTGCCTTCGATGTTACAACTGAGAAATATCATCAAATAGAGCTGCTCGACAATATGGAACGCAAAACGTATAACGTGGACTTGGGAGCTTTACAAGAATGTCTTTGTGCGATTGCAACTTGTTTAGACAATGCTGTTAATGTATGGATAATGAAGGATTATGGGGTGAAAGAGTCTTGGACTATGCTGTATTGTTTGCAAGGATGTTTATCTTCGGGTGCTTATTTATACCCCCTTCTTCTTGCTTATTCCAAAAACGAGGACGGAATTCTATTGGAAAAGGAAGGCATGTCCCTTTTATGTTATGACATAAATGGTAAGGGGTTCAAGGACTTCAACCTCCCTCAGTTGCAGAATTTTAAACCCCTTTGCCCTGAGATTTGTATGGAAAGTCTCGTTAAACTTGGTGACTAGGTTAAATAAAAAAGAATCCTCTCAATTACTAAATTATTTTTTGGTTTAGATTGATTATTCTTTTTTCATCTGTGACTTGACCATTTTCCAAGTATGTAGATTTCTGATTTTACTAAAATTTTAATATATTCAACGGCCAAAAAAATGGCTTAATTGATAAGATCATTCATTTCTATTTAAATAGTATTAGATTTGAGTCTTACATCATAATGTCTTGACGCTATATGGTGAAAGAGATAATTTTGAACATCCATGCCTATCCTTGAGGCATTGTGGTAACCTATTAATTTGCGTTTATGTAATGGAAAGAGACAAAAAAAAATTGTTTATGCAATGTGTAAGAAACCCGAGCAGGAAAACTTCTATTACAAGGATATGTACTTCTGTTTTGCCAATGGTGTTACAAACAGTTTATCCATGCATGTGCTCCGATTTGCCCCAAGAAGGCCAAGGTTGAATAACTTCTCCAACTCTGATCACTCACATGTTGCTTTGTAATTGCCATGATCAAACGTTTTCTAAGCCTATCTTATTGGGCACATAAAAAGGTACAAAACGTTGCTGGCCAGCTCAATGCATGTCTCTACTTCTTCAATGAAACCCTATTTGGTGGCAATTAATCCAACAAAACCATGTGCTTTTTGCCTGTTGAAACATTAATGGAAAAAAATTTTGTTCATTAACCTTTTAGTTCCGTTTGAAATTTGTTAAACATGGCCAAATAATAAAAGTTATTAGTTTCTTTGGTTAAGTTTTGACAATGAAGTCGAACTTGAAATGTAATTTAAATAGTTCACCCACTTTCCTTAAAAATGATTTTTAATAAAATCGGATTCGATTCTCACCACTTTTGTCAATTTTTCTTTCTCAATTTTCGTTATATGTTGGAATCTTATAAAAAAAAGGTTTTGACAATGGAATTGCATTATTTTCAATTTTTTTTTTCACAATATCAACCATCCAAGGAATGAAATTGTGTTTGATTAATGATTTAAAAAATTTTGAAATTTTAAATTCAAAATTTATCGTATATGAATTTGATATAAATTATATTGAATTTAATTTTGGTTTGTGTATTTTTACCTTATTCATTATTTTTATATGAAATGTAATATTTAATTATGAATATAAATTATTTTTTGTACTAAATCACTTCATTAAAAGAAAACAATATTTTTAATATTGAATTCAATTTGTAAGAGTAATTCTCATTGCACAGGTGAACAATGTAATTTTCAATTTTCCCTTTCAATTTCTAAATGGAAAATTGATGACTTTGGTTAATTGTTCCCTTCCAATTTCTGAAGTGAAAAATATCTTTGATGATTTTTTTTTTTTTTTATATAAAGAAGGGTTAGTATCATTACAAGGGAGGGATGGCAGGGATAAAATCAACACCTATATGATTTTCTAGTGACTTCTTAACCATTAGGTTAAGAGGGAAAAGTCAATTGATGGCTTGTTTTTTAACTTTTTTTTTCTAAACACTGGACAGTTATATCCAGAAATTTCAATGCACATTAAAGAAAAAACTTTAATTAATTCTTATTCCCCTGTAATTATCTCCCGCTTTATTGCAAACTCCTAAAACTAGAACCCAAAAAAAATGGTTTCACATACGAGGTTTCTTCAAAGTGAGACCAGTCCTAGGATTAGGCAGAATCCGATGATTAGAGGTTATAGTCAACGTCAAATCTGAAAAGAAAGTATATTCGTTGAATGACTTCGATCACCCTAGGAAATTTCTTATGAAGGAGATCTCACTTCAAAAAAAAAAAAAACCAAAAACATAAACATATAATTTCCTTGCGATAAAAGAGACGTTTTAAAATTCAACACTTCCATATTAGAGCGAGAGAGATAATCACATGGAAGAAGGCCTGCCTCCACTGTTGCATCATCTCTCTCTCTCTCTCTCTCTCTCTCTCTCTCTCTCTCTCTCTCTAGTTATATAATTAGCTACCTCTCCAATATCTAAAAAGAAAAAAATTGAAGTGGGTTTTTATTTTTTATTTTTTTGGTTCTGGGTTTTGAATTTGGTGATCTGGGTTTTTGGGGAATTGTGGGGGGTTTTTGTTGAGAGAGGGAGAGAGAGGGGGGAGATAAATGGAGGAGGGGAGATTGTGGCAGTGGGGCGTTTTCAGATCTCTTCTTGCAATTCTCCAATGGTGGGGTTTTAATGTTACTGTGATTATCATTAACAAATGGATCTTTCAGGTTTGTTTTTATTTATTGATTTTGACACTTGGTTTTAACTTAATTTTCTTATCTTTTTATCGAATTATTTGATTATTACAGAATTCTGTTCCGCTTTTGTATAAAATTTTAATTGTTGATGCCTTCTGTTTTCCGCTTCAAGTATCAGTGAAAATTTTGCTGGAGTTTATTGATTGATTCTTGTTAATGCTTGCTAGACTGAAATTTTCTTTTTGAAAATTAAAAAATGAAAATTGGAGTTCTCATATGGGCTATTCTTAAGCTTAATAATTTATTAAACAATACATATTATGAAAGCTTTAAATTTAAAGAGGCTGCCAGGTTTAACTGGTATAATTTAGCTGTTAAATTATGTAATCTCAACATTCTAGGTTCTTTTCCTCTATTATTTTTTTATTACTTGATTTGGTTTGGTAATCTAGAGTAACAGCCTGATTATGGACTTAAATTATGCATCTTAGAATAAAGACACAGGATCCATGGCTAGGCTGTCAGTTTTGTTTGTGTCAGAGGAATGTGGCTGCAATTTTCAGTTTTTTCAAGGTACATAAGTAACGGATCTAGGAATATAAATTTATCTTAATTATGACTCCTCATATATTGGAATTATGATGTTTATTTTGTTTATGTGGTACATGTTGATGAGAGGAGGGAAAAGGTAGGGATGGCTGTCTAGTATGTGGTAGGATTAAACATGAACCTTCAATTTGTGGCTTGAGAAGTACATTTTCCTGCTTAAAGAATATGCCAAAATTTTGGATGGTTTAATGGAATCTTGAGAAACATGCTAATGATTTTGCACTGCTCTTGCAGTTCATTCCAGACGATTCACGTCTGTTCTAAAGTTTTGGGTGCTTAAAAAGACCTTCTAACCTGATTTAATGCTAACTATCAAAATATTTCTGTAACTTTGATATTGTCGTAGCTAGGAGCCTAATCCTTTTGGTTGCTCTTTAACAAACAGCCTGATGTGAATTATTTCTCTCTAAATGTTTTCTTTCCATATTTTTCATTTACTTTTCTCTAGAGGACATAATAAAGTATAACATTCAGTGATCATACAATTGTTAGATTGGGATATTGGCATCTTATATTGGAATTCGTTGATTTCGACACTTTTAGTCAAATGTCTGAGGACAGGACATTGTTTCTTTTTTCCCCAGAAATTGGATTTCAAATTCCCTCTCTCAGTATCATGCGTTCACTTTATATGCTCATCAATTGGAGCATATCTGGTAATCAAAGTGCTAAAGCTTAAACCTCTAATAGTGGTTGATCCTGAAGATCGTTGGAAAAGGATATTTCCCATGTCTTTTGTATTCTGTATCAACATAGTGTTGGGAAATGTCAGCTTACGCTATATCCCAGTTTCTTTTATGCAGACCATAAAGTCGTTCACACCGGCAACCACAGGTGAGATTTAGAAATTATAAGCCTAATCATCATTTTTGTGCACCTTATCCTGATACACCTCTTGACTGCATATCATCATCATTTGTGATCTCTGTACATTTTGACAGTTGTTTTGCAGTGGCTAGTTTGGAGAAAGTACTTTGACTGGCGAATTTGGGCCTCTTTGGTTCCTATTGTCGGAGGAATTCTGCTAACATCTATTACAGAACTTAGTTTTAATGTGTTAGGATTTTGTGCTGCCTTATTTGGATGTTTAGCTACTTCTACAAAGACTATCCTTGCAGAATCTCTGCTGCATGGATACAAGTTTGACAGGTACCGATGTTATTCTTTTGATTTGTTTTTTTCTTTTGGCCATCTTTGATGTTTTGGGAAAGGTTAAAATATAAGACAACTGGGTTAAAGCTCAAGCATGTGTTCAATATTAAATAAGCTTATGACAGATACAAAAATTTAGTAAATTATGCAATAACTGAGTGTTGTGTGTCAATTTCTGCAGCCAGCATAAAATTTTACTTTACTCACCAATCATCTGATCCTCTGCATTTTGCACAAGCATGCCTATTTTCTTATGTAATTGTACTGTTTTGGCCAACAAATAGAATGACTGGCATTACTTGTCATCACAACCTCCAATAGCCTAGATTTTTTACTTTTGGGAAAGGTTTCTTTAGACTGGCGGACTTCTGGTTGGCACAATCCTCTGTCTCCCTAGATTGAACTATTAACAAGGAAATGTTTAGGTGAAGAACAATTAGTGCCACTACTTTATAACTCTCTGGTAAAACTCCGCTAACTGTTATTTAAACTAAGTATTGAACATATGAGTTCCAGCAACTTAAAATCATCTAATTATGTAGACATTCTGCATCAAAGACTAGTTCTAGTTATTAAACAGAGCCAAGTTTCAACAGGAGATACAAGGCCTCCTTCCTTTTTGAGAATAAAGGCTGAAGATGAATTCCTTCCATTTTTTCCCCTGGCTGGCTTTGGTTATTGCCTGTTGTAACATTCTACAAATTCATCACATCCTTGGCTGATGTCGAAGTATAGACCTTTAGATTGCTTGTTCTTTTCTCTTGAGCAAATGATGCTCAATGAGCAAAGCTTAGTTGGTTATTTTTTATTTATTTGTATCTTTAAGAATTATTATGTGCTGCTCGGTTCTATACTTTCAGAGAATATTTGGTCCAATGTATTAATTCACAAGTTTTCTGATCTTTGTTCACTTTATTTTTGGTGATTACTCTTGTAGCATAAACACTGTCTACTATATGGCACCTTTTGCAACCATGATCTTGGGAGTCCCAGCACTGTTACTTGAAGGTAATGGGGTTATGGATTGGTTTCAGACCCACCCCTCTCCCTGGGAAGCCCTTATCATTATTTTGAGTTCTGGAGTGCTGGCTTTCTGTCTTAACTTCTCCATTTTTTACGTGATTCACTCAACTACTGCTGTCACTTTTAATGTTGCTGGAAACCTTAAGGTGAGATTTGTATAAGAGAAAATGATCCTTCTCATGTTCTGACTCAGTTATACTGTTCATTACTCTCATTGTTGCTTTCGTTAATTGTGGTCTACAAGGGCTAAATGTTTTTTTTTTTTTAATTTTACCATAGATATAATTATTTGTCCTATAACAAACTTCATGCAAAATTCATCATCTGAATGTTGCTTGCATTTTTCATATCCGCAGCGGAATCTTGGAAGTTTTTTAGTATATAGTTGCAGACTTGCAGTGCTTAAACGCTTAACAAAATTTCCTGTTTATCATTTTTAATACATTATTCATTATTCTTATGTTTTTCTTATACAGGTAGCAGTTGCTGTGTTGATTTCATGGCTGATATTCCGAAACCCCATTTCAGGTCTAAACGCTGTTGGCTGTGGTATTACACTTGTGGGATGTACATTTTATGGATATGTCCGACACATGCTTTCTCAACAGCTTCCTGGAACTCCTCGAACACCCCGGACGCCTAGGAACAGGGTGGAACTACTCCCTCTTGTAAATAATGATAAGTTAGATGATAAGGTCTAATGGAGTTTGCTATGCATTAGATTTTGCATATTTTCTTCTCTCAGAAACAGAAAATTATCAATGTTATTACATCTCTTTATTTATTAGAGTGCCCCAAATATTAATTACATGAAACCAACGGCTTCAATTGATGGTCATTGCAAAAGAAAAGAAACAACTAGTCTTGGAAGAGCAATGACCCTCAAATTAGATAGTGCAAGACAAATTTTGGTTGTCTAGTCTGAGAGAAAGAGGCTGGAGTTGTACATTATATATGAATGATGATGAGTACAAACGAAATTCTAGTTAGTAGTAGTTATACATTAGCTGAAGACGAACTTGATCTGTAGCATACATTGTTACAGCGATTTATCTTTGCATATGCTATCAGGCATGTTTAACCAGGAATCATATATTGAGTTAATAATATAACTAGAATTAAGCCAAAAGCCAAAAGTTCTTTTGCCATCTAGTGCTGATAAGGTAGCCATTGACGCCTTTGCTCTGCTTCCTGACCCCTATGGTTGAGCAATCCGCATTATTGATGCATTGCTCCACAAACTCCTCAGAGCTGCTGGTCCCGCAGAGACTGCAAACCAAGCATCAAACGGTTAGAAATATCAGAAAGGGGTGAGATGAAGATTTGAATGAATGATGGAAAATTTAGTAGGAACCACCAGTTTAAGAATGGAGGGGGCCTTTTCAGACCCAGTACCAACACTGAAACCTCTAGCTTCTTCACTTGGTCCAACACTGTCGCCAGCTTGGGCCCTTGGATAACCAGTGCTTCCACTTCTACCTGAATATTGGTCCCCATGCAAAGCAGGTAAAAACACCAGCAAAGATAAAGCTTGTCAATATTTTGTGAAAGATTAAGAAGAGAAAAGAATAGATTAAAGAACATGATTTACAGCAATGGCATCTCTCACACAACCCAGGGAAAACCTAAGGCATAAAAAAAGGAAACAAAAGAAAAACAAAAGCATCTGAAAAATCCATCGCCCCTTCCCTCCAACCAAACTATTATGCTTTGAATTCTTCTAAAAAAATAACTCCCTTATCTGTAAAGAATAGAAATGAAGCAAAACATGGAAGTAACAGTAATTTTGTTGAAAAAAAAAAGTAGTAAAGACCAATAATAACTTGAAAATTGCCTCTCACCAAAAAGGTACTCAAAGGACAAGATTTCATTTTTTTTTCCAGAAGACAGAAACTTGACAAATACTAATACTAACAAACTTCAGAATAGTCTACATTACCTCAGGTTCACAAGCCTTGCAAAGTGACCCAAGAAAGCTAGCAAGATTAGTAGAAGAAGAAGAAGATGACTCAGAACTCTTCCGGCTAGGAGAAATAACATGAAGTAAAGTGAGCAAATCAGCCTTGTTAGTCACATGAGTAAGTGCCCACATCATAGCATGCTTAGAATGTGAGCTTTGGTCCACAACAACCATCACTTTCTTCCTTAAAACCAACCCATTGTCAACCCCATTGCCATTCATCTCAAGCCCTTGCATCTGTGTTAAGCTTGTCTCAAACCCACCACAACCATTCCCACCAACGTTGTTATGCTTATTGTTCCCTCCCCATCTCCAGGATGTGGATTTCCAACCTTCTTTTCCACTTAGCTGCCTCAAAAATGAACCTGAACTAATCATTTTTCTGTCACTTCACTTACCTAAATTTGGCTGGCATAAACAGAGTACACCAACTATAAATGAAGAGAAAGACTCTTGAATACAAATAGCAGGCCAGTACTAAGTGCTAATCCAGAGGGTTAGAGAAAAAGAAATGGAGGGTGAAGTTGAGGCCTTGGTTTGGGAGGTTTCTGGGAAGTTTTAGGGCTTTAATATTGAGAGAAGACCGAAACTCAGCCAACAGGGTCCAAAAATGAACTGAAAACTAAAAAGGAAAAAAATGGGAAAAGGAAGAAAGAAAGAAAAAGACAAAAAAGAGTGATGGATGCCAGAATGGAGGAGCTAAGGTGGTGGTGTGGGGAGGCAGCTGTGATGATGCAAAACCATGATAATTTATCTTTGTTATAGGTTAAAGTCATGGGAATCACTGGCTATTTTGAGGCTTTTTTTAACACTAGGTCGACCTTAGTATAAATAATTGTAAAATGGTCAGGATCTTCATAATGAAAGACACAGATTCGTCTTTTACTTTTCCGTACTGCCAAATGCCAATTCCTTACAAATTTCCATAAATTATTTCAGATTCTTTTCCGGTACAATATTTTCTTTTAATTTTGTTTCTGATAAAGCAGTAAATGAAATAGCAACAAGTGTATATATACTTCTATAAAGGTACATACATAAAATTTTAATGAAATTTCCATATCCATGACGGAAGGTGGTTTCCAAGTTGCATGGTCCATTTTTCTCCTTGGGGGTAAAGTTGGACTGCACCACTTTCAACTTGTAAGTTGCAACATCGCCATTTATGTTTGTCAAGTGAGTCTTTTGTTTTGACAAATAAAAAAAAATATTGCATGGCTCTTCCCACGATGGACCAAAGGGAAAGTCGCCATCGAAGAAAGAAGCGGCATGTTTTTTGGGATTTTTGTTTGTTGTTTTGTATATTAAGAAAGAAGCATGAGATTTAGGGTCTGATCGAAATGTCATGTCAGACTCTTCAGATTGAGAATGAGAGGCCAACACAAGTATTCAATTTTTTTTGTTCTTATTATTCGTCTATAATAATTTATTTTCCTTCATTTATCATATACCAAAACTTAATGAAGGCCTACGTTCATAAAATTTTTTAAATTTATATTTGATGTATTAATTTATAATATATATTATTAGTGTATCATAAATTGTTATTTTATTAATTTGTTTTAATATAATTAAATATTTAAATTTTAAAAATATTTATTTTTTAATTTTTTAAAATTTTAAACTTATTAATTAATGATATGATAATTTTTAGTATATTAATAATATATAGCATCTATATATTAAAAATAAATCAAATATAAACTAAAATTATAAGTAACATTCATTAATTTAGCCAACAAAGAGTTTCCAAACCCCCAAGTATAAAAAGCAAAGATGCAAAGTAACAATGAGTTGGTTGCTTTCAATACGCTAATTTCTCTTCATGTAGGTGGTTTTGAATTTGATGTTATTCGTGATTTTTTATTAATGTTATTCTTCAATAGTTAAATTTTGTGAAGTCTAGACTTATGGCACACCTTGTTTTGTTAAGAAGAATTGAATAATGAATAATAAATGAGTTTATATTTAATGTTATAGTCAACGTATAAATATCATATATTCATATATTATCATTAAATTAGATAATAATATTTTATTAATAAATTAATATTAAATTTTGAAATAAATATGTAAAAATTAATATTTTTAAAAAATTTATTCATTAATGAAATATTAAAATACGTATATTTTAAATAAAATATTATTTTGATTATTATATTTTTAAAAAATATTTATTGATTCTTATATTTTTAATTTTCTAATAAAATAATTTTTTATTAATGTTTTTGTTAACTTTATTGTTACATGTTTGTTGGCGACACATGTTAGCCACGTAGCAGACATGTGTAAGTTGATGTGTCCAAAATTCTAATTATTTGGATATTTATTTTCTTGTACTTTTCCTTTTTTTTTTCTATCGTTTTCCTTTGAACTGCCTGTCACAACAAAGGATCAATCCCAGCTGATGTCAAGACGGAGGTTGGAGTCAGATTGACGCAGGAAGCCATCAATCCGAGGAGGAAGAAAGGAGATCGGCTTCATTTTTTTTTTTTTTTGAAGCATTACTCCATTCCCTTGCCGAATCAATGACAACAGGGATCAATCTGGCTCCAACTGTCGTCGATAGTCGCAAGCCAGAAAGGAAGGAAGAGGAAGAATAAGAGAGAAAAAATAGAAAAAAAATCGGAAATATTTTTTAAAAAATTAATATATTTGATTAAATATTATAATTTAAAATAAAAATTAAAAGCTTTTATTTTAAAATATTTTTTTGGTTTTTCTTTTTCAAATACAATATATATAATATATTTATCAAATATTATAATTTTAATAAGTTTTTTTATTTTTCGAATATAGTAGAAATTAAAATTTAAAATAAATATTTTTTAATTTTAAAATAAAATGAAAAGTCAAATGTGATTTTTGGATACGACAATTCAAAAAATAACGTGTGAAAAGTGAGCAACGAGTGTTTAAAAATGTAAACGATATCGGCCATATTAATTATATTTTTATATTTGTTTTATTTACGTACTGTTTGCATGGGAATTTGTACAACGCTGAGGCAATTAAGGCGTTTAAGGGTTATGCCCTTCTTCTTCTGTGTTGGAATTGAGAAAAAAGAGGGAAGAAGTCTTCTAGCAATTGGGAGAATAGAGACGAATTAGTATTCCAACCGTAGTCCTTTTGTCTTTTGCATTCTCGTGAATTGTGATGTGGAGGAACTAAACATACAACGTAGCATAATCCCTTCATACCCGGTGCTATGTTTTCTCTTTAAAATCAAAAAAAAAAAAAAGAAAAAAAAGAAAGAGAAACTATGGCTTCGAGTTTCGACCATATCATTTTTTTTTTATGTGCTGAATTTTTTACCTCATAAAAACAGGCATTTCCACCACAACTCCACTTGGTTCACAAAGCATATATTTTTACTATGAGAACAACAATTCCATCAATAAATTTTTCCATAGTAAAACTTCATACACTAAAACTAACTCATTTAAGAATTACTTTTGACCGTTTTGTTGGCATTTAACATCCGACATGTACATATCTAAACGTTGGAAAAAGTCAAACTTGAAAAGAATGTTTATTCCAACTGCCCATCCTTTTCCACCAATTTCCTATGACCCTGTAGTACTCTCTCATTCCCAAAAGGCTAAAAATTGTCTAAATCTATTCTAGGTGGACAAATCGATGTGTCCTTTCAATCAGGATCAAGCTGAGAGAAGCAGAGGTTGTGGACAAATTTTCCATATAGTATATGAGGGGTTAGTGCTATAGTTAATATCATGGCTATGGTCCATCCGACTTGGTATCCTAACTAAGCCTTTGGAGCTACCGAAACTAAGGATAACTGAAATGAAGTAGCCCCGAGTTAACATTTCAATTGGGAAATTGGTGGGATCTCTCATCTTGAAAAACTTGCTACCTACTCTTAGCTTTTAACCTATGCATATACATATATAATTAGGTCATAATGTAATATCCTATCATTTAAGGCTCCTTATGGATGCACGTTGAGAGAAGGTTTTCACCACACTCGAGTGCCTAAATGACACTTTACCTTAAATCCCTCCCACCCATCGTGCATCCAAATGAAGCATGCCTCTTATTTATCAATTATCTTCCTTATTAATGGTTTAGCTCAAAGGACCAAATTTTATAAATGAGAAGAATGCAATAGACAGAGAAAACACAGACTTCAACTTATCCTTTCAGCATTGAGCTAGACCTAAATGGCAGGTATAACACAATGAGAATTTATACATGGAGGCAATGAGTCTAGGAGAAAGACACCGCATTGTAAACCTGAAATCAAGATGTCTAGCCAGCTACTTCCGAGAAATATTGGCACCTGCTTTAAAATCCAGGGCAAGGGCAATTAGCAGGACAACACTCACCAAAATTTCAAAAGGAGGACCAAAGCCCCACAGTGAATGAAATAATCACTAATCAGTAAGCAAAGAGATTTACTCCCTGGAAAAAGGGTGGAAATATAAAAAATAATAAATAATAAAATACTACGAAATAATCATCCCATGCAAGCAGAAGAATGACCTAAATGGAAATAATGTTTTTGTATAGTACCCCAAGAACTAGTTTCTAATTTCTATCCTCTATCCTATAAATGAAAGTTATATACATGACTTCTTCTAATTTACACCTATCCTATGGGATCAAACTAGAATTTTAAATTTATAATAGGTGAATTAGGTATTTTATGACTTTTAGGGTCCAATTGTTGGGCTCTCATTCACTTTTAACATCCTTGTGTCATTCTAAAGGTATACATATCCAAACATCAAAAGTTCCCATCAAATAAAACGAATTTATAAACATATAAATTACCCCCAAATGACCACCTACGATAGTAAATTATAACCCTTACACATTGCAATGAGAAGTATCAACAAACCTATAACAAGGAATTTGATTCAAAGAGTTTCATGACAGACAATATATGCAGAACATGAGATTTTTCTATTTTAAGATAGCTAAACGAACAAAAAACTGCATTATTATATATCTCATTTAAATAATGACTCAATGTTGCTTATTATTATCACTATATCACTAAAGAATAGTTATTGACTATATGCGTTACAATGAGAATGGATGGAATCACATCCTAGATTAAGATATCAACTCTACCACCTTTCACATAATTCAGGCATGTTAGCAAGACTTAAAGGTGGGCAAAAAATGACCGCTGTTTTCAAATAAATACTACCATTCGTCATCTGCTGAATAACAATTTCTTTCTCTCAGCAGCTGAGTTTTCAACATTCCCTCATCCATTTAAATATCCATAGCAGCTGTTTGAAGCGAAGGACCTTACACCAAGTTACAAGCTTACCATATCTATTTTGTTAGTTTTACTCAATCATGATTTTCTGAAGCTAGCATCAGCTGTTGGATGATAACTTTCCATTAAAGTTAAATTGACACAAAAATGAAATATCTTCAGGTGACAACATTAGTCTACCAGTACTCAAGTAATGCCGGGCACCTCGTGTCCTGTACAAAAACAACTTGTAATTAAACAGGACTACTGCAAGGGATGTGCTGATCATGAACAATGAAGTACTAACATTTGCAAGTATGTAATTTGAAATAAAAGTTTGTGTACCTCCGTCTCTTTGTGAAGCCCATGCCTGCTGATAAGCGGGAAGCTTCCGATCTTGAAATACACCCCAACGTAGAAATATATTCATGGAATGCAGCACTGTTCAGTGCCAAGTATAATCTTGAAGGGACTATAGACCTAATGATGTTGAAAAGACATGATTTTACATCCCTGTATTGCAAACGCCAAAACTAATTTAGGTAAGTATAAAGACAACACCAATAATGAAATTTTGAAACATGCTTTTTTAACAAGATGAGTGAACCAAAATCTGTTTCAGACAAAGCACATTAGATAACTGCCTAAATCATACATCTATAAAGGTTCTACTTATCCAAGGTAATTCTTCATTCCATCCTAGGCAACCAAAACAGAAATTGTAAATGATAAATAGTAAACATGAAATTTGATCTGTGATCTGCCAATGTCAAAATGCTCAACTCATATGCAAGTAATACATCCAAGTGTGGCTTCAAGGGAAATGACCATTCCGCACCTTTTCACGGCTAGCTCATGGTTTGATGGGCTCATGTCCAAAACCTTTCCATCAACTGAATTCCTGCTTGCTCTAGCATCATGTCCAAACAATCTACCGAGTACCATTGTACTAGTTGAGGAAGCCAGCATCTCCTGGCTCAAATCCACCCTAAGCTCAAAACCCATGTTTGATCCTATAGTATCAATTTCTTTAGCATACAAGCAAAATCCATGTTGTGAAACTGTGTTAGCCATCTGCAGCTGTTCATCACACCAGCTAAATGCATCTGAATTCTCAGAAGGGAGCATTAACAGCTCCAAAGAATCCTGCAAAGTAGCTAATTAGTATCAAAGATAACAGGCATAAACTCAATAAGAAAGGGTCTCTGAATAAAAACACAATACTATTCATCACTTACTTGCATCTGGCACTTGGAAAGCAATTGGTCAGCTTGTGAAATTAGATCACTCATTCTAGAAGTAAGTTTTAAAATTTTAAGAGCATCTATTGGCTCTAACTCAGCATAATGTTTTATATCAGCATGACTGTCACGAAGTTTTTTCCATGATTCTTGTACTAAATCAGTCACCCCCTGGTTATTAAATTTCCCCAAGGAAAAGGATCTTTTGTTGAAATTCATGCAGCCGCATTCATCCATCACTGGATGCCCACTTGATACAACCTCATCATACTCATTTTGAGAATGCTCCACCACCTCTTCAGGAGATGCTTCTGCAGTAATACTGCATGTGCCGCCTAACATCTCTGAAGTTTTAACTAATTTATGTATAAATTTACCAGGGTCATTTGATTCAACTGGCAAAAGGTCCTCTGTGAACTTGCAACTCACTGAAACTTCCATTGTTTCAGCAACATTTACATTAGACACAGCTGTAGAAGACAGCTCCATTCCATCACCAATTTCAGTCTCAGGAACATACGACACATCCACAGAATTGCAAGTTTCCACTTGTAAATTATTTTCTGTTTCCAAGCCTTGGAAGCCCCTGTCCTTATGTTTCTCCACTTCAGAACAAAGTAGCTCATCTATTAATGGCCTTATGCAATTTGAACAATGAGAAAGTAGTCTGCAATCTTTTTCGATGAATAATTCACGGTTGACATTCTTGTCTGAAACTACAGAAGGTTGTTTATTAAAGTCCTCATCTGTGGAATCAGAAGACATTACAACATCAAGTTTCCTCCTATGAGTTCTCCAAGATAAAGAAACTGGGGTGCCTAAAGAATTGTAAAAGTCATGTGCAGCATAAGAAGGGTTTATGAATTCATTGCAAGCGTGAATGGAGATATTACTGCTTAACATTACTCCCTTCTTTGCCTCTATACTGTCTATCTCATTATTATGATCTCCAATCCATTTGGCACTTTGTTATTTTCAAGTTCTTCCTCCATCTCCTCCATTAAAGTTGAATTTTCCTCCATCAAGGACAATGTCTTAGCAAATTTCCTTCTCAACTAATTCTGATAACTGAGATGGGAAATCCCAAGGTATTATAGTTGTTAGTACTAAATGACCCGCCTCTATATCAAACAGCAGCAAGCCATAAGGCTTCTGCAGTTTCCTATCTGGATTGCCAATGGGTGTTAAAACAAAGTGCAAATATATAATACAAAAAATCTTTCTTTGCAAAAGACACTAAACAAGCAATGACTTCAAAAACAAATACTAAACCTGGGAATCACATCCTTGAAAAAGATCTGTTGTGATTTTCTCAAGCACAAGAAGCATTTGAAATTGGACTGGCTATAAAAAAATATAATCCAATTGGTTCCCAAAAGCACTAGAAGTCACATAATAATTTCCAAAAAATAAAACAAAATGATAACAGAAATCCTTTTACAAAAAGTATGACATATCAAAACCTTGAATGTAATGCCGCTCTTTTTCTTCCATGAGGTTTTCTCATATACACAACTGGAATATCTATAACTACAATGCACACTTATTATTTATAAATGCAGTCATCTATAACAAAGTGAATCTGCAAATAAAATTCAGAGCAACATGGTAATGTTCACTCAAAAAAAGTTGCATGCTGCCCACTGCGTTTCGGGAAAACTTAAGGTTAAATATGGTATGGGAACCAATCTTAAGATGTTCCTAACAAGGGGCAGCGCGAGGCTATGGGAACCAATCTATCCCCTTTGGCCCTTTCGTGCAAAGAACATGACATCTGTCTTATCACTAGAAAAATGCGTGAAAATATCCAAGAACAGATATCCACACTAGATCAAACCAGTCCACTTGAGGAAGTAACACTAAGCCATAAGTCCATAACCACAAAGTCTGATGAGAAGTTTTCTAGTGAATTTATCTATTAAAAATATTGACATCAACACTTGAATTACATCTAGTGTACATCATCATAAACCAAAAAACTGTTACTTAGGGTTTTTATTTGCTCATGTATCAGGGACCTACTGAGATTACCCAAATCAAAGTGAATATAATTTTTAGATGGTTAATATTTACTTCAAATGATACTTGGCTTTTTGCATAAGCACATACATGTCAAGTGAATTTTACTTTGGAGCTCATTCCTTATATTTTCTTACATGGTGATTTATTAAGATTTGCAAAAATCTTGGCAGATTAAACAATCTTGAGAAACATATTGAATATTAAAGCTCCTTCATTTTGTTTCTCTAACATTTTTCATGGTCTCTTCTAAAAGCATTGTACTAACATGTAAATTTCAGAAACAAGAATAAATGTACCATGCAAACATGATGCAAACATGTATGGCTGTGCTTAGCAAAAATTTAAAAAACATGTATGGCTGTGTTGCGCTATTAACCTTTTTGATATTGTTTGCTCTGGCACCAAAACTGGAGATGCATGATGGTTTTCCGGATATCACCTTTACAACATTTAATTAATTGCTCTAGCAAATGTGGTTGAATGGTGGCTTTCTCTGCTGCACAGACCTGTAGCAAAAAAATATAAGATAAACATGAAAAGGAAAGGATTTTTGTAATTTGAAAGAGTTCAAAAAGAAGGCACTGAAGCTTATACCATATAAATATAGTGAAGCAGCTCTTCTTGTGATGGCATTGTGAAACATAACTCTAGCCTGTCCAAGTTGTCCGGCAGAACAAGATTGTTACCTGAGAATTACCAGCACAACATGGAGTTACAAGGAAATACATCAAGCTATAAAGTATCAAGAAAAAAAAGATAACTGTTTCAACCATAAAGCCATCTTACTATTACTAGTCAGTATCACAGGCCCTTTTGCTTTTTCAGCAATTTGCTTTACAGCAGCAGCAAAACCACGATCTTCAGGAAAACTGATATCTACATCCTCGAAGAGAATCAAAGCTTTAGCTTTAGCTTGACCAATGCCAGTCTCACTATCATTACAGACACGTTTTCCAGAGGCTCCATGGGCACCAAATGGATCTTCCTCATCGGATATTGGTATCACCTCATTATCAAATTGTTGCACTGCTTCACTATTAGATAAAGGTCCTGCAAATTTCATCACATGCTTGCTAAGTGAATCTACAGGATTTTCTAGCGACCTGCAACAAGTATACTTTACAATTAAGGACAGATAATTACATTAGTAAAGCTTGAATTCTGCTAGATGATTCAATTGGCAATAGAATGATCATAAAAATAAGGTGTAAGAATGATGCTGAAGCTATAAGACACGAACCCTGTAAGGCAGTGTGATTTTAACGCCTCTCCAAATTTTTGCTTCACAACAGCTCCATTTCGACAGTCTGATGCATTGGACTAACAAAATAATAGAATAGAGGAATTCACTTTCACTCAATGGATTATTCTTTTAGCATTAAATTACAGACACTAAAGTTTTATTGAAATAATATTAACTATATTGACTGCATAAAAGGATGCCTTGTAATCACAGAGGAATATAACTAAGCTATATGGTATTGCAAGGGCAGTGGTTGTATGCAAGGACAGTGGTTGTATCTTAGTTCTATTTTTTGGAGTGTAATAAGTAGTAGAAGTAAATTAATGAGTCTTTTAACAAAGGGGAAAGTATGCTAAAACATTTAGGACTTTTGAAATATGAATTGACCTTTTAACAAAAAAAATGATACAAGGAAAGAAAAAACCAGAGGAAACCTTCACACTTTTCAACTTATAGCTAGAAAATTTCATTGTTCAGTCCTATGTAATTATATTTTAAAGAACTGGCATAAATACAAGCCTTGGAACAAATCAGTATCAAAAGCACAATAGATTTAATTGCAGCATGAATTTAAAGATATAGGACAAGTAGACTGTTTTATAATCATGTAACTTTATCACTTTTAGTTGAAATCTTCCACAACTATGAATAAGTCCAAAGTCAGACTCATCCAAGTTTCCAATGATTTAGAAAAAATGGAGAGACGAATCTTTGTCTCAGTTGCAAGACATGTTAATAACTAAGAGCATTTAAACTTGCAAACTAAAGAATCAACATAGAGCCTTAACTTCATAACAAACTGAGAGTCCATTTAATTCACAGGCAGACTTCAAATATTATGCCAAAAAGCCCTAGTGATTATATGCATTTTCATGCCAGGATAAATACCATTTGGATATGGCCACAACTAATGCTGGACAAATAAATTGTAAAACATTTCAACAAGAATCTAAAAGTTTAGTAGCAACCTCCAGAACTTTAAATCCTTGTTCCTTTGCACAAGCATGGATAGCCGCAGACTTCCCACTCTGCAACATGAGTAAAAATACCTTTAACTACCAATAAAAAACAAAAGCATATGTACCAAACATAACTTGAAACAAAATACAGAATGCTCTCCAACAAAGCAACCATTTAAGAGAAAGAATTGGAACAGAGTTCCAATTTAATATAAGCAAGAGAGTTCTCTTAAACCTTATACAATCTCAAGACTGAAACCTTTGCAGGTGTAACTACATTTGATGTTGTGAGTACATCAACTTTATACAATCTCAAGACTCAAACCTTTGCAGGTGTAACTACATTTAATGTTGTGAGTGAATCAACTTAATGTCAAGTACCTAGTTCCATTTTCTGGAAAAGAAAAATCTTAAATCAACCCAAGAGACACCAGTAAACCTTGTAGCCAAGAAACATACCATCAAGGGCTAGCAGCACATAGAACAAAGAATTCAGCCAATATTAAAGGAAATATCAACTGTAACATGTATTAACACTTGATAAAGAGATAATAATTCATTCAAAGCCAACCATGACAGTTCATTATGTGAATAACAAAAACGTACAGCACAAAAGTTAACTCCAAAGCGCGCAAACATGTGTTAAACTTTAGCCAAAACTTTTATGTATACCCCAATTGGTCCAGTAACTAAGAGAACATTCTTCAGGCTATCCCCTCCATCTGTGTTTTCTGAATCAAAATCACTTTCGCAAAAATCATCATCATCTTCCTGCATGTTGCTTTTACCATTGTTATTGAAGACTTTGATTGCTTGAAAACTTCTCTCACGCCAGAGATGCAACCATTCACTCATAAACTTCACCGATTCAGCATTGCCACACACCTGAAAAGCGCATTAAAGGAAAAAAAATAAAAATATGAAATATAATATTACATCCCTCTACCCATCTCCCCTTTAGTATCAATAGCAGTTCAGAACAGACAAGCTAATAACATCTCACCTCTCTGGCATTTTTTGGCTGGTATTTATCAGTCCATAAGCTATTATCAAGCTGGATACTGCAGCCATGATAACATGGCACAAATCCGCAACCACTGATATAATGAAAAGGATCTTGCTTAGCAGAATGACAGACTTACATATGCAAAGGCAGAATCCATTATAGCAAGCAGCAATTTTTTTTGCATAAATAAACTAAATTATTATTAGTATGGCACCATTGACCTTAACCATAAAAGCAAGGCTTTAACAAGTTAGTGGGTACTAACTGGACTAGTTCCATTTGATTAGCAAGTATCAACATTATTAAGGTGCAAATCCTATTTCTAACATAAATCTATTCTGCATACTTCAAATTGAATAATTTCAGAAACTACAGTAGCAAACGAGATTCTTTTAATGCACACATAAAGTATTTGTAACAACAGACATATTAAGATAATCCTAAATTAACATATCTGAAAAGGAAGTTTAAAAGCAGGGCACAAAAGTTTTAATTCACAAAACTCCAACCTTTCTTTAAGTAGTCTACTCTGTTGTTCAAACTCTGAACTTTCCACATTATCAGCCTGCACAGAAAGGACAGCAACTTAAGCTACTTGACCATCCTGGCCAAAAAAAAAAAATATTATGGTGACAAATAAATCAAAGAACATTCAAAGTTACGTAAAAAGCTGACAAGCCTTTGGCTCACAGGCAAGTGGGACATCTTTAAAAGCATGAGAAAGGAGGTATCTGTTAGATTCCACTTGAAGTAATTGCCAAACTTAAATGTTTGTGGGGGTTGGTTGTCTAGGATTCCCATTGTTCAGGGGAAAAAAAAGAGTTACAGAACTAGAACAAAAAATAACGGTAACAGGAACTCCCTTGAAAATAAATTTAAAGAAAAGAAAGGTTATAAGATAAAATTACAACACATACCCCTTCTGAGCCCTTTAACTGCTGATAACTTTTCAATTGCTCATCTACTAGCAGAGCAGGTACTGCCATTGATGTCCCAAGTAAGCCATTATCTTGAATAATGCATTGATCTGACAACTTGTTTTGAACAAATGATGCATCAGAGAAATGTGAAACACCAGGAAAGTTGCCAAGACATAATGCCCCGACACAACTTTCAAAAACGGATGTGAATAGGCCTTCAAGATTGCAATCCGTATCAATGGAGGTTTTCTCAAAAAAAGTCCAACCTTGCCAATCAAGAACTACATCATTCTGCATGAGAAAGTTTGAGTGTCATTCCAGATAAGAAAGAACATTTATAGAAGTTCAAATTCAAAACCAGAAAATATAATACATTTGGACATGGTTGAGTCAATAATGCCATACCTGAGTTCTTTCAAATACATGAATAGGACCAATATTAATGCCTTTGTTACTTCTGTCAAACAAGCAACCATTTTCCCCTAATTCAGCAGTCTCCTGGCTCTTTTTTCCCGCTTTCAATGATGTGAAAAATGGATGAATTTGCCTTCCGGCAAACATTCGTGAATTTTCCTGGTCAAGAATAAAAAGACACTTTCAGTTACAATTTAAATGTCAAATATCATATTAAATGCTGTTAGTTAAATTAACACATCTTGAACTTAGATACTGTTGCTAGTAGTACAAGCTGATGCTAACCTTTTTGGATGGGGGAATGGGGCAGATGAGTTTCTGAAAAAAATAAAAAGGAAAATAGCAGCTTCCTGTGTTGCAAGGAAAACCCTAGCAGTCTCTCCACATTAATTGTGGTCCAGGAAATTGGGAGAGAAATAAGATCTTCACTAGGCTGTAATAGTGAAGGTTGCCTATCATCCGGCCTAGTCTCATAATTAGGCACATCCTGCCCAATGACATCATGCTGGGCATTATTTAAGCTCCAAGAGCTTCATCACAAGCTATGCCACATCATCAACTACCTCCAACCGAACAGCATATGACCTTCATCACCTATTGTTACCCTAGCATCTTCCTTTCAGTAAATTAGAATCACCAACCACCAGTAACTATGTTCGATTATATTCTTTCCCGAATCCTGATTTTTACGCATCCCAGTGTTTCTAAAAAAACCCTAAACACAAACTAATATTCTACCATGGACTTTTTTCTTTTAATTTGTTGGAACTATTTTTATATTACTGCATTACCACTAAATCTTTCAGCATTGGAACATGATATCTGCTCTTCAACATCTAACACAACGTTCTCCATCAACATCAACCCGTAAAAAAGAAAAAAGAAATAGCCAACAAACTGCTAATGCAAGCTTCCCAGAGTTAGTACAATGGTAAACAAAAACCATACTAAAACTTCCCAAAAAAAGTAGAAAGCATAATCACTAACATCAGCTGTCAACTTTGCCTCCAATCTCAAATTAGGGATTGGTGGCGGTGATGCATCTTCACTCTCTATCAAATTATTCATCCCATTCTTCTTCGGTGTAGTTTTCATTGGCGATTTCTCCTTCGCCTGCTCATTGAAAATCACATCGAAATTTTAAAAACAAAAACTATCAAACAACTTCTCCATTTTATTTAATCGGTTAAATTAACTAAAATTTAACTCAATTAAACCTTTTTAGAAGCTCGATTCTGAGGAATTACTTTCCCTTTCCGTTTTCTCCCCTTCTTCTCGCCTTGACTACCGCAGAACTCTTCATCTTCGCCGTCGTTATTGTCATCCTCACCCGTCTTAGCCTTCTGGTCAACCTTTGGTTCAATCTCTGGAGATTTGTGCGGGAACAGGGTTGACTGGACCAATCTCCGCCGCACGATCCTCCGTTCCCGCTGGTCGGCGCCATTGACCATCACCACTTCCGGCACTTTCTTCTCAGCTGGTTTGTCCACGTAAGTAAGGTTTATCCGATCCTTATTTAGGGATTTGGGGTTTTTGAGTGATTTAAGACTTGAGCCTTTTTTCTGCTTTCGGATTTTCGGACGTTATCTAAGGAGTAAGAGAGAGAGAGTTGGAAAGAAACACGGACTCTCTTCCCGCGCCTTGCGGGTAAAAAGAAATAAACAAATAAAACGCATCCTCATTTACAAGAGACCATGTGGTTAATATTACTGAAATCTAATTTTAATTGGAATTAAATACTTAATTAATTAACTAAAGTTTTTTAATCTAATTTTCTAATTTTAAAATTTTTTAAGTATCTCCTTTTTAGTTTTTGGGATTACGATGAAGTTCAAATCTTTAATTTTAAAGTCTATTCTAGTACCACTAAACTAAAAATTTATTATTATCACTTGATTTATAATACATATAACCCATAATATCTTTTATTATAATACTACAATTAGTTAATTATACAAAAAATTTATGTAAAATCAGCTACTTAAAAATATAAATTTTACATAAATTTTGTATATACCTCTTATAATAATGAATTATAATTGATTAATTGCATTAATTGTAAGTGACATATTTGAGTTAATATTATGAATTATTCTTAAATTATAATAAAATATTTAATATGATATATGAATTTAAAAATTTATAATATGATATCTTAATTATTAATATATTAATTAATGTGATATTAATTTTTATCATATTTAAATTCAGATAATTATATATGACAGATAAATTATCCTTCAATTATCACAATAATTAACATATTTTAAATTTAAATATCACATAAATATTTTATTATAATTTAAAAATTATTCTATTCATATCATTAACTCTTAATAATTTTTTATGCCTATAGGTGATACAATCACTAAAGTTTGTAGCCTTTGCTTGGTTGCAACTTTAATATTTTCTTTCAAAGGTAAATAAATTTATTGGTTTTTATTTAAATATTAATGTTAATTATTTTATCAAAAAGTGAACGAAAATATTATAAGATCACGTGTAAAAATAATAAACATTATAACTATAATCAAAACAATACTCAACGTAGTATATACATGTGAGATAAATATTAATTAGAATAAGTTAATTAACAACCCAACATTTTGTGTTTTGATTTGTTTAAAATGCGATATTTTATTTAACCAAAAATTAAATTTGCTTACAATATTAAGTAAATTTTCAATTTTAACCTTAAGCTCCATTTGGATTAGCGTAAGATTAATTACGATGAGATTAAAAATAATAATAAAAATTATTGTAGTTGCAATTAAAAAATATTACTCTAACTATAATTAAAAAAAATTAATAAAAAATTTATGCTGATTTAAATTTATTAGAGTTGATATTTGGATTCAATTGAAAGTACGATAAATTTAATAACATTGCATGGAAGATATAATGAAATTCAAATGAAGGATTTAGTTTAACATAATTGTTAAAAGTAGCTTTTACATTTAAAAATTAATTTTGACCAAATCTCAATATTAAATAACAGTAAAAACATTACTTTTAGTCTAAAAATTTGATTTTCAAATTCAAACTTAAAACTCCTCAACGTGTGTTTTTATGATAAACAAATGTATTTAGGATAAAAATTTATTATATTGTTGTTATATTTAAACATTTCAATTACTCAACATCTTTTCATAATTATATCAAATTCTTAAAATTTATAAGTATATTTTATAAATTTATTTTATAAATTTATAAGAGGTAACACCTTATAACCGAGCAATTGTTCTACTGAGGTTGTTAAGAGATAAAATAAAGGGTATTTTGGTTGGTTTGAGTAATTAAAATGATAGATTTTATTGTAGTTTGTTTTTTTAATAGTAAAACAATTATTTACATTGCCTACAGCGGCAAGAAAATGACTTGAATTGAAGGATTCTATTATATTTGATTCCATGCACAACTTGATTTATATCAAGATTATAAATGAATCGAATATGAATGAATACATTCTTGTTTTTTCGTTTATTTTTAAAGGTATTCGTATTCATTAAAAAATTATTTAATTTATTCGTATTCGTTTATTTAAATAATAAATTGTTTACATTTGGTTCATATTCGTTTAATTAAGTTAAATAAACTCATTCGTAAATTTAAATAAACATGTTTACGAATATATATAAATTAATACATTCATGAATAATAAATAAATTATAACTAAATAAATTTAAACAAAAAAACCTTAAATGAACATAAATGAATTTAAACAAATATAAATGAATCTCAAAATATGATTAAGATAAATGATAAAAATATAATTTTATTAGTGTTATTATAAACAAATAATAAACAAATAAGTTTTAAATGAACCATAAATGAGTTTGCTCGTGAACATAAATAAACGAACAAATAATTATTTATATTTGATTCGTTTAATAAATAAATATATAAGTTATGTTCAAAATTATTTGTTAAACTTAATAAACGAATATAAATCAATAAAAACTAAATATGTTCACGAATGTTCATCGAAAACTATGTTTGTTTCTTCTTCTAATTTATACTTTTAGTTTTTTTTTTTAATGTTGATTTATACTTTTAGGCAAATAAAGTGTCAAAAATAGTATTTGTTTAAACAACAAGAAACGCGAATAACATATGAAATAAAATATGAGAAGGCGTGTAGTATTACAACCATCTTGTAATTTTATCAAGAATGTTGTTTGTTGCGGACTTTATACAATTCAACGTCGAGTAGGTAAGTCTGTTAATCGGTTTTTTTTGCAATAATTGGAATATTGATGAATCAATGTTTAATTGACTTATTTTATTTTTTAAATGTCATGTTTGTATAAGTTAAATTCTTTATACTTTTTTTATATGAATAAAATCACATTCATTTATCCTAAAAAAATATTAGAAAAAATTTTATAATTTAATTCAATCCATTTATGTAATTATTTTTAAAAATTATTATCACTTATATATATTTTTATTTTTAGATTGCAATTTTCTTTATATAAAAAAAATGGAAAGATAAAGTATGGAAGTATGGTAGGATGGGCAAAGCTTAGAGTATGATTCATTTCATTAGCTTGTGAATAAGCTTAATTTTATTTCTTCATTAAAAAGGACAGCTTAGTATGGTAGAATGTATGCTGGTGAGAATTTTGAAGAGCGAAAGTAGTTCAATAGTTGTTGCAGTAGCTACGATTTTCCTGAAGTAGCACACTAATTACCAAACCTAATTTTGACGTTTGATTTTATATTTGAGAGAGAGAGAGAGAGAGAGAGGGCTAAGGTTTATAGCTTCAAACAACAAAATTTGGTTAAGACCATGGACGATGGAGGACCAGGACCACGGACCTGTTATAATTATAGACCAATGGAATGTATATACGTAATTTGTTTATTTAATTTTAAAAATATTTGGGTTTGATTTATGTTTAGTAAAAATTGTTCTATTCGTTTGATTTATTTAAATAATAAAATATTTATATTTTATTTAATTAAATTAAATAAATTTATTTATGAATATTAAACGTATTCATAAATATATAAATAAATATGTTAATAAATAATAAATAAATTATAATTAAATAAATTTATATAAATATAAAATGAAATATTATTATAAATAAACAATAAATAAATAAAATTTAAACTAATCTTAAATTAATTTATTTATGGATATAAATAAATCAAATAAATTTTTATTTATATTTTATTTATTTAATAAATAAATAAAAATCTAAAATATTTAAGAATGATTCATGAAAAGCTTTATTCGTTTATAACCTTGCCTATCTTGGAATTGCAGGAACACGCGCCAACATGAACCGCGGTGAGTTGGGGAACGAAGAATGTCTAGTATGCTACGTCCGAAACCGCATCATTCAAGAAAAGAAAAAACCAGAAATTCTTTACCCTTCGTCCACGCCTGAAAAGGGTACCCCGATCGAGTTGTAAGTGGGGAAGGCGCTCCGGAATCACGAAAGGAGCATAACTGAATTCACCAAAACACCCCTCAATCGAATGCAGTCCAAAACACACCCCTTCAACGTAACTTTTTCTTTCTTTTGAGAAATACAAAAAGGGCAGGGATAAATTAGTCTTAATGGAAAAAAGTAATAAAGTTTGCAGACTCTAAGATCGAGAATCTGACTTGTCTCTGTTCACTCTATGCAGCACATTTGTCCCCTTCCTCTGCTCCATCTCCCTTCAAGCCTGTCCCTCTTTCTTCTTCTTCTTATCCGCTCTGGAGTTTCGACCATTTTACAGTAAAGAAGAAGCCCAAAACCTAAAAGAGAGAGCCTTTCCCGGCTCGAAAAAGTAGCCATATTTCCTGTGTCAAAGTTTCTACATTGTAGTAACTAGTAACTCTTTCTTTTTCAAAAGTAAATAGTACATTTTTGGTTGACAGTGGAGGAAAAAAGCCAGTTGAACAAATCCTAGAACTTCAAATACACCACATTTGATTATTAGATTCAACCAGAATAAGCAAAGAAGAAAAAAACCCATATTTTATTGGTTTCAAATCTGGGTTTTTTAGTCCCTTTTCTCCAAAACCCAAAAACCCTTGCTAAAGAAAAGAACCCAGTTTTGAGTAGCAAAGAAAAGCTCTTTTCTTTACATTCTTCCACTACACTGTTTTTATCCTGCTTCCAACTGAAGAGGAACAAGCAAAAAAGTCGGGAACCTAACAATGCCAAACAGAAAACCCACTTTTTTCTCCTTCTACAAAGCCCTTTGCTTCATGGTTTTCACCAATGTAGCTTTGGTAACGTCTAAATCAACAATCGAGCCATGTTCGAACTCTGATTCCTGCAATGCCTTGCTGGGATACACTCTCTACACCGACCTGAAAGTCGCCGAGGTTGCAACCCTCTTTCAGGTTGACCCCATTTCGATCCTCACGGCCAACGCCATCGATATCTCTTACCCGGACGTCGAAAACCACATCCTTCCTTCCCAACTCTCCCTTAAGATCCCCATCCTCTGTTCCTGTGTTGATGGGATTCGAAAATCCGTTTCCACTCACTACAATACCCGCCCTCAGGACACTCTTTCCTCAATTGCTGATTCGGTTTATGCTGGTTTGGTGTCAGCTGATCAGATTAGGGAGGCCAACTCGATTGCTGATCCTTCTGTTCTTGATGTGGGCGAGAATCTTGTGGTTCCTTTGCCGTGTACTTGTTTTAATGGGACTGATAATGGACTGCCGGCCATTTATCTATCGTATGTGGTGAAGCCAGTGGATACTTTAGCTGGAATTGCTGCGAGTTATTCGACTACTATCACAGATTTGATGAATGTTAATGCTATGGGAAGTACTTCTATCAAGGCTGGTGATATTCTGGCTGTTCCTTTATCAGGTAGGTTTTTCATTTCCTTATTTTAGTAGAATGTGCGGTTGACATTAAAAATTGAAATTTGTAATACTTTAATAATCTAAAGCCATTAAGCCAGTGCCAGCATCTTGTATGTTTCAGGTGTAAAATTGAGTTTTTGTCTTGCTTATGTAGTAGGATTGAACTTTTTATGATTGCAGCAATGGTGTTGCTCTAACTTTTTCTAGTGTTAGTTGAATTTTTATCCTTGTAATAGATTTTTTTTTTTTTTTGCGTTGATGAGTTCGAGCTAATGAAATAATTATGTATTTCTCTAATCATCTTAGGGAATTGAGTTATGTGTTTTTATGCTTTTGCTTTGTTTGTGCCCGTTTCCTAAGGGCAATGGAGGTTAAGTGTTGTTTTCTTTTGGTTCTCGCAGCTTGTGCTTCAGATTTTCATAAATATGCCTCAGATCATGGATTGATTGTGCCCAATGGGAGCTATGCTATTACTGCTAGCCACTGTGTTCAGTGCAGCTGTGGGCCGGGGAGTAGCAAGTAATTGAGCTGTTTCTTAGCTTATTGGTTTATTAGTTTCAATTATAGTAGTCTTGACCACATTGAATTCATTCCCCTAAATCTAACAGTCTGGAGTTAATCACGTTTACTGATTGTATGTACAGTTTGTACTGCATGCCTGCTTCTTTGGCTGTTTCTTGTTCAAGCATGCAATGTAAAAGCAGCAATCTCATGCTAGGGAATGTTACAGTGCAGCAAAGTAGTGCTGGATGCAATGTTACTTCTTGTGCTTATGGTGGTTATGTCAATGGCACCATTATCACTTCGTATGTTACATCTTTTACCGACATTTATTGATGGTTATGTGAAAAGTAATCTCTGTGTTTGAGTTTTGTTCAATGACTGAACCCTTTCTGCCCTTGTCTTTATTCTGCAGGTTGTCATCATCTCTTCAACCTCGATGTCCAGGTGAGAGTTTATAAAACAGTGTTCTCATAGGTTGTCATTCCAAAATGCATGAAGATGAGAAATTGTTTAATTTTAGGGAGGTTTGAACTTCCCTAATCCAATGCAATGTGAATGTGTTTATTCCTTTTCTCATCGAGACAGATGAAAATGATTGAACTTGGTAGTTGCTAATTAAATGAGTGGAATGAGATAGTTCTTATCTGGTTTTGTTTACCTGATTTTTTTTTGTTGTTGCATCTACAAATAGAATAATATTTATTTATTTATTGACATACTGAATTCGTTTGTTACCTTTACTGATGCGTAATTGTTGATAATTCTGGTGCTTCTTCTTTAAAAGAAATGGAAGTTTCAGTTTCTGTGACAAGACATGACTTCAAATGTTAAGGAGTTGAACATGGGTGATTTACATTTTAGAATTCACAAATATTTCCAGATGGTCATAGAAGGCTTCTTCTTGACTGATTTAAATTTGCATTGCATTTCAAAAAATAATGCAGGACCACAGAAATTTCCTCCCCTTGTAGCCCCACCTACTTATGTAACACGGGATTCAGTTTTTGCCCCAGCACCGGCACCCCAGTCAGATGGTACCACAACAACAGTGCCCAAAATTTCTACAGTTCCATCTGGGTCACTTCCTGGACTTCCCCCAGTAGGTGCCCCTATTGGAAGTTTATCTGATGCATCCACATTGGTGAATTCGGTGGCTGTTCTTCCTACTGCACTTATAGTATACTTGCTTATCAAATTAATCTCACCCTTATCATTGTAATTTTGCTTGTCCGATCTACTGGGGTTTTGTTTTGTAAGGTTGCTTAGTTTTTGACCTGTCCCACTTGGCTGTTGTATGTAACTTTATTCATGACTGCATTACATTATTGTGGTGGGCTTTCAGATTGCACTAGTTAGTTAATTTACTTGATTGCGGATCATTTAGAGCAATTCATTGGCAGTTGCCTTTCTGTTCATTAAATCTGACCTTTATGAAATTTCTTGGATGACTGCAATGTCTTTGTAGGACTAATAATATTTTTATTGCCTTGTTTCTCGATTTTCCTTGAATTTGTGTGTTTTCTTTGTGGATATTATAAAAGGGGATAATTGTTGATTTTGAATGGTGGGGTGGATATAAATTTGTTTGTCGGGGTTGTCTTTGAGGCATGCAAAATGAATATTGTGTTTGCAGAATGTTGCAATAGTATGTATGAGTTGACTGTCTGTTTTCATTACAGCAATATTATTCGAATCTGTCTTACATATCTGCTACTTTGGTTTTGAGGCCCTTTTTAATGTTAGAAACTTGTTAATACTGGGATGTTTTGGGCAAGCTAGTCTGTTGACATGTGTTGGTTGTGTTGCATCTACTTATGAGCAGGGAACAACATTTTAATTGCTAGTTTGAACATCTCATGTCTGATCTGGCAGCCATTCGAAAGAAAAATTACAGGATATAGCATAAAAAAAAGTGTACCACTGGTTTACTAGAGGATGTTTAATACAGAATCAAATATGGTTTCAAGAGTTATGAAGACACAGGGTTGACCTTTAAATCCTCAAATGTAAAAACAAACTGACATTAGATTCCAAATACCTCTTAGGATCATTGTGCTTAGGGTTGAAATGGAAATAATATTTGGAACCAGGGCGTTTCGGGTTTGGAATATCTCTTGACAATGCATGCTTACAACCCTTGTCAGCTTGCCAGCGGAGGTTGCGTCCAACCAGTTCATATTGGCATGCTTTTATGACTTGTATCAGTGATGTTAATGTTTTCCAACATTTTTGGTTTTGCTAAGTTCTGTTTCAAACTGGATACATGGTAAAGCTGCCCGTGTTGGGTTTCCGGAACTTTTACGTACTGTTTCAAGGAGTTGTTTGCTCCACGGTAAATATTACTAGCAGCTCATACAGATACTCAGATTTTCTGTTGAAAGAGAAAATTGAAAAGCTTTCAGTTACCGTTAACTTCTGCCTCTGCTTATAGTAAAGAATATTGGACCATGCATACACAGCTGTGTTCATGTATTCTAACCATCTTTTTTTTTTTAAGAAATACAATTATATATATATATATAATATTGATTTAAGGGATAAAAGAGACAAGTGAAAAAAAAAGAAAAAATATTTAATCTCACCTTGAATTTATTGATTTTAATCGATTGAAGGACAAGATTAAATTATTTTTTTATTTGTCTTTCTCATCTTTGGATATATTAAAATTAATAATTAAAAATATAAAAAAATGTAATTTTTTTTTGTGTACCTTGATTCCTCTCGATATATTTTATATATATATATATATAAACCAAGAATTACCAAAAACCAAATGGGCCCAATATACCCATGTGAAATCCATCGCTTAAGAACTTGGGACTCTGCTCTCCGGCCCATTTTATGCAAAACCTTGCAGTGTACTCGCCTACTCAGCTCAGCAATCAGCCAATCAGCAGGTAGAAGAAGAGGAACAATTTCATTCGAGATTCCAGTGCGCTGTGATTCCCATTTTCCCAGGAATCAGATTCACTGAAATTAAATAACCAAATCTGGTGATTATTAGAGAAAACCCAATTTTGAGATAGTGATAAATAAATACATGAAGTAGGAGAAGCTGCCTCCTCCATGGCATCAGCTCCTTCCAAGCTCTATGCAGGTTCCCCTTTCTTTAACTTTGCTCTCCATTCACATAATTTTTACTGATTTCCTGCTTGTTTTTTGTTATGAAAATTTTATTACTATTTATTGTTATTTGTGTTGCAGATGATGTTAGCCTTGTGGTGGTTTTGCTAGACACTAACCCATTTTTCTGGAGCTCCTCTTCTCTCTCTTTCCTTCAGTTTCTTTCCCATGTAATCTCTCTTTTCCGTATCCAAAATCCTAAAAAAAAGCAAACCAAGATCAAAATTAATTGACTTTTGCATTTTATTAATTCGTATGTTGGTGTTTGTATAGGTTCTTTCATTTTTGAATTCAATATTGACCCTTAATCAACTAAACCAAGTTGTGGTTATTGCTACTGGATATAATTCTTGTGACTATATCTTTGATTCGTCTCTGGATTTGAAACGGAGTTTAGAGAATGGGAGAATGCCTGTTATGTGCTCCAGCTTGTTGCAAAAGTTAGAGGAATTTTCTTTTAAAGACGAGCAGTTAAGCAAGGAGGAACCTGAGGGAAGAATTAAGTGTTCTCTCTTGTCAGGTTCATTGTCAATGGCTCTTTGTTGTATCCTTTCTGGTGTTCTAGTGCTTTGGTTGTTTCATAACAAGTGATGTCATGTGCGCACTTATTATTCAGCCAGTTGCATAGAAGGTGCATAGAAAATAGAGGCAAAGTTTACATTACAATGGACTCTGAATATGTCCTTTACAATTTGTTTGATTTAATTAGATTTTAATAGATATACAGAGAGTCTTTCGTTCAGGAGCCCTCCATCCACATCCCAGAGTGAGTCTCTGAATACCTGGTTGCAATTTGATTTATCTGCCAAGTTTGATAATTTGCATCTCAAATTTTATCCATCAATTATGCAGTCACCACTCATCGTAAATTTCTTTCATGTGATAAATGAAACTGAATGCTATTATTATTTGTCTGGTGCTACACTTCTAATAAAATAATAATTATAGATGCACACTTTTTTTTTTCTGTTTTCCTTTTGTGCGTTCAGTAATTGTACATTGCTTGAATATGTTCATATCAATTGCATATGTTATTTGTTAAGTACCATTGCTGGTGGAAATTCCTCTATCTTCTTATAATCAAAGTGCCATCTTTAGAACAATGTGTCTAATGCTAGCATGAGGAGGGCATTTTCTTTCTTGATTATTAGTTGAATGTATGTAGCATACTCATTTTCAGTTCCTCATGTTAGTGCATCATCATTTTTTATATTTACTTCTGATGAGATCAAAAGTCATGCTTGTACTATGGTAACCGGGACCATGTCATCTGCAAGGATAATGCAGTTAAAATATTGCTGGTAATATTTACTGCAGTTGCTAGATGAACTGCAAGCCAAACTATTCAACATAGGAGGAAGTGGAATGTTAATTTTCTCAGTTATTGAGCCTATGATAATCTATCGATTTCAGCAATGATAAAGAGATATTTGTTTAAGCATAGAAGGATATATAGCTGTAGATGCTGTAAATTTATGCTTGACAATGTAATTTCCTTGCATATTCATCAAAATATTAGAGTGGTTTGATTTCAAACAGTAAGGGAATAGCCATATTCAAATCAAGAAGAAAATGGAGAGTTTCTGTGGATATATGCTAGAAAAAACACGAAAAATGTGCAAATTTTGTAACTGACTTTGGTGGTTTTTTTTTTAATGTATTTTCTTGTTTAGTGTTTGTTATTATGCTTTGTAGTAGTTTACTAACATATGTATGCAGATCTTATGCTTGCAGGGATCACCAGATGGACCTGAACAGTATGTTCTTTTTTTTTTATATATATTTTCTGTTATTTACACTTTCTTCCCCTAGCCTTTAGACTCAAACAAATATTTTCTTCTTTTCAGATATGTTGCAATCATGAATGCAATATTCTCTGCCCAACGCTCTGTGGTACTTGATGTGGCATCTATTATTTCTTTCTCATTATTTCAATATATTTTTGTCCAATTTTATTTTGCCCGTTCATTATCAGAGTAAATTCAACATAGTCCTCTGTGTTTTTGTTTATAATGACTTGAATAACTTTAGATAATTAGTTTGGAAGTTAATTTTCCTTGACTTCTTATGTCCTATTCTTTTTACCTTTTATAGCAGCTGTTTGAATTGATTAGGGATGCTTGTTATGGGTATCACAATGACAGCTTGTGGTTGGTTAATTGGTCTTAAGCTTCTAGTGGAAATATTATATTGTCTTTCCACCACTCCTATCTTGTTTTAAAGTAGGATAATTTACATTTTGTTTGTAGGTGAAATTTGACGTTGTTAATTTCTTTAAGTTTGTGACTGTCATGTTTATTTCTCTCTCTCCCTATAAATATAAATATAAATATACGCAACAAACACACACAATATACAACATATTTATTTATTTATTATAAGGATGTGTAGTTTATCTTGCTTCAAATGTATTCATGTCATTAACTGGCTTCCTCCTGCAGGTTCCTATAGATTCTTGTTATATGGGTGCTCAGAATTCTGCCTTCCTGCAGCAGGTATTGCACTTTTAGTAATACATTCTGAATGACCTTATGCTGCAAACAGACATTGGTCTTCCTCTCTCAGTTCTACTGATACTCTTTGATGCACGGGAGTTTTAGGCTTCTTACATAACTGGTGGTGTACACCATAAGCCTCAAAATTTGGATGGGCTATTTCAATATCTCATGGTATGTTGTTTTCCCAACTTGACATCAATTTGTATTTATGATTTAAAAACTTGCTTGCTGCCACTAATTGTTACCCTCTCTGTACAGACTGATGAACATAACATGATTTCTTGAAAAATATGTTTTATTCTGTATTTGTTTATGAGAACAGTATATTGCAGTCTTGCCTAGTGCTAAAAGTGTTTTTTTCTTTGTAAATGTTTTGGTTGATGAAAATGTGGGCACATTATTGTACTAATATGTCGTTGACCTTCTGTGCAGACTATTTTTGCTGCTGATCTGCATTCTCGCAGTTTCTTACATCTTCCAAAGCCCGTTGGTGTAGATTTTCGTGCCTCGTAAGTTTTACTTATCGTTGATTGAGTAAATTGCAAAACCATCCTTACAAATTTCCTCTGATACATCTTAAACATGAAATTTTCCCATTGATAACGGATTATGTTAGTCAAATATTAACTAAGAAAATGAGCTGATATCATGCCCAGACTGTTTGGAAAAGTTAAGGCATGGCACCAACTCTAGCTGCAACACTGTAAATATTCTTTTTTAACATTTTCTTTGTTATTACTATAACAGAGGGATTACTAGATTTTTTTTTCTGTTTTTAAAGTATAGGCCAAACTATATGTTTGAGTTAGCATAACTGTATAAGGTCTTATATCCCTCTGTATTCCTTCCATGTCAATTCATGCTCTTATTGCTTTAACTTTAAATTATGAAATGCATTTGATTGAATTCTGAAATTTGCAGATGTTTTTGCCATAAAAATACCATTGACATGGGCTACATATGTTCTGTATGTTTGTCAATTTTCTGCAAGCATCACAAGAAATGTTCGACCTGTGGGTAAGCATATATTACATTTCTAGCTGCAAGTTTTCCATTATTTATATTCTGCTCCCAATGATTCATAGTCTCATACATTGAACAATTAAAAAATTCAGTAAGTTCTCAAGCTTTTCTTGATAAAAGTAGTCGTTGTCCGGAATAGCCATCTTTCGTTTACGTTGTCCGGAAAGCCCAGACATCTTTTTCAGTTTCTTGGGATTCTTTTCTATCATCCTCATATGTAAAGTTGATTTTCATTGTAAATGCAGGTCAGTATTTGGTCAGGCTCAATCCGAGGCGGCTTCAGCATCTGACAAAAAGAGAAAGACTCCAGAAACATAAATTTAAGTAAGGAGGATACAAAAGTTTCATCATCTATTGAATTTTGGTGAGTCTTGTTTGCTTAGCAAATTTTGTTTCATTCTGGACATTGCACTGTTTGCCTGTTTTTTATTTTCCACATGAATCTTGGTTTCTTGCAAAAGCATCTGCTTGTGAAAACATTAACATGCAGAACTTATATGACATAAATAAATAATTAAATGTGAAGGATTGAGCTACCATTTAAAGTTTTTGAGAAAAGTTCTTTTGATTTTCTTTCTATTTATCAGTGATTCGAGCACACGGCAAAGGAGGGGGCAATACATTGGGTGACCAGAAATTCACCTCCTCCTACCATGAATTCAGAAGAGTTGGACAGGTTTGAGATAAGATTTGACTACATACAAGGGCATGCCTTCTTTCCTCTTGTTATTTCTACTTTTCCTCCACCAAGCAGTTGAAGCTAAAATCAGCGGCAAGGATGCTTTATTATTTATACAAACATTTACTCTTGTTAAATCTGCAGTTTTAGGAACTAAGAAAGAAGAAAAAATACTAGTCATTACAGCTTTCATGGGGGCCTTTTCCCAACTTTATTTTACAAATATTCTTGTGACAACCTGTTAAATTTTGGGAAATGCTAATCTTTTTGCAACTCCATTTAATTTTTAGAGGGCGTTTGTTTGTTTAGCAAAATTTAAGATTCTTTTTCATAATTTTATTTCTACTAATTTGATTCTTTATTTTGATTGGTGAACTTTTTCCTTGTGTTAATTATCTTACATTTTTTACGGTGAAAAAATAAGGTATAATATGGAAACCTTCTTTCGGAAAAATATTTTTTTTTTCATTTGCTTTCACTTAATTATATTTTTTTATTATATCTTAAAATTAAAAAAGAAATATGATTTTTGTTTTTTTATTTTATTTTAAAAAATAAATTAAATTTGTATATAACAAGATAAAGTTATTTTTACCTATTAAATGAATAATTATATAACAATTTATATGTTAAATAAAATAATTTCCATGTTACATAAATAAATAACTTGCATATTAAACAAATAAATAATTTAAATGTTAAATATATTAATTTTTTTATAAATAAACAAATAAATAATTTAAATGTTAAATATAATAATTTTTTTTTATAAAAAATCTTAGTTTTTTTTTTTCATGTATATAGACCACGATTTTTCATAAAAATTGTAATTTATATATACAAAAGGATGAGTTTTTTTTTTCTTTTAATAAAATCGTAGTCTACATATAAAAAGATTATGATTTTTCATAAAAATTTAGTCTATGTAATATGTAAATGATTTATAAATTTAATATATAAATTATTTATTTAATTTATATAATATTAAATTTATAAATAAATAAAAAAGTGTAGCGTACAATGGCCTAATATGAAAATGTGATTTAATAGACAAAACACCACGGGTTTTCAAGCCACCATAGCCGTAATCTACTTTGCAATTTTATATCTTAAAAAAAATAAAAAGTTTAAATTTATTCAAATTATTGTATTTTTTGTTTTTTGCAGGCTGATTTCATAATTTAACCATTACTCCTACAAGCATAGATAAATGAATTAACGAAGTTAAAAAAAAAAAAAAAGAAGATAAATGAATTAGTGATGTCACGCTGCCAATACTGTTTTTGGAAAAACGTGGTTATGCCTCCTTTGCCGTGTCGCTCGAATCACTGATAAATAGAAAGGAAATCAAAAGAACTTTTCTCAACAACTTTAAATGGTAGCTCAATCCTTCACATTTTAATTATTTATTTATGTCATATAAATTCTGCATATTAATGTCTTCACAAGCAGATGCTTTTGCAAGAAATCAAGATTCATGTAATAAGTGGTGGAAAATATAAACCAGGCAAACAGTGCAATGTCCAGAATGAAACAAAATTTGCTAAGCAAAAAAGACCCACAAAAATTCAGTAGATGATGAAACTTTTGTATCCTCCCTGCTTAAATTTATGTTTCTGGAGTCTTCCTCTTTTTGTCAGATGCTGAAGCCGCCTCGGATTGAGCCTGACCAAATACTGACTTGCATTACAATGAAAATCAACTTTACATACGAGGATGATAGAAAAGAATCCCAAGAAACTGAAAAAGATGATTGGGCTTTCAACAAAAGAAACGAAAGATGGTTATGCCAATACTGTTTTTGGAAAAGGTGTGTTTTAGGTTAATTCTTAATGCCTTTCATTCATTTTCTTATTCTGGATTAGGTATGCTTTATTTGTTTGTTTGCTATTTGCTACTGGATGGAAATGTAAAATGTGTAATTAGATACAAAATGCAAGATTTTGCTTTATGTTAGAATTGATTTTACATTTTAGTCATTTGTTTATTTTCAATCGATCATGATTTTGCTTTGCATATTTGCCTTTCCCTTATAACAACTTTTGGAAAACCAGAGACAACAAGCAAAAAACAAGTAGCAAAAAAAATCACGAAGTAGCCCTAGTATTTTCTTTTTCTTTCTTTCCCTGGAAAATAAGCATGTATTTGGAATGCTAGTCTTTGACTGTATCTGGCATAATATTTTTATAATTTATCTTCATATGGTAAAAAAGTTTTACTATGTATAAAACAAAAAATGAAATTTAATAGCCATTTGTTGTCTGTACTATTCTTTACTCGATTGTTGATAGAATAAGCTGCAGTTTTAATCACCTGTTTTATGAAATAATGATATCTTCCATTATAAAGATTTTCTGGGCTTACAGGACCAGGTGTGTTATAGAAAAAAAATTGATGAACTGGCGATAGAGCTATATTTTATTTCATTATGATGAAAATTGCAAATCTTGTTGCTGCTGGAACATTGGATGTTAATAACGTTATATATATAAGGAATGGATGTGTTGGAATGTGAACACTGGAAATGTGTTATTTCTTTTTCTCATTTCACTTTTATTGATCATACATTTAATTCATTCTTTATTTACAGTGTTTAGATGGTGGCAACGATGATGAAGGCTCCAAGAGTTCTGGTGAAACTCTGGAGAAAAAAGTAAGTACAACCACTGAAGGAACAGAATCACTCAAAGGACAACAACCTAAGAAAGATGGAAAGGAGGCTTGCTCTGAAGATGAGGACAAATTGGAAGACTCTCCAGTTTTGGGCCTGACTGGAAATAAAACTACGAAAACCGAAAACGCTAAAACTGAGAAAAAAGAAAATAAAAAAGTTTTTGAGATTGCAATAAAGAAAGCTATCAGAAAAAGGGCGTTGTATATTGAAGCTAATTCTGAGTAAGTTACTAAATTGTTTGATTGGTTGCTGCTAGTCAAACTATAATTGCTTTTCCGTGATGTTGCAGCTTGTTGCTTTGTATGCCATCCTTTTTCAGTGCCATGGTATACTGAGGTGTAACATTGAATCATTGGATGTTTGATGTTTCAGTAAAGTCACAATGGCTGGACTTCATCGGCTTTTGGAGGAAGATCTTAAACTTGATAAATATGCACTCGATCCGTACAAGAAGTTTATAACAGAACAGTTAGATGAGGTGGGCATAATTTATTCCTGAGAAATCAAGTCAACTTCTTAAACTATCATGTGCATCATAGCTTTCTTGTGATTTTCTCTGTTAATTATCAGCTGTCAAAGTCTCGTGAAGTTTCTGCACCTGCAAGTGAGGTTAAGAAAAAAAATCTCAAGAAAATTCTCAGAGCAAAACTTCTAAAATGGCCAGCAAGAAAGTGAATTCTGCTTCATCAAGAAGCGAAAGTGATGAAAAGGAGGAAGATAAAGATGAAGATGAAGGAGAAGAAGAGGAAGAAGAAGTGAAACCCAAAATGAAGATCACTCTGAAAGGGAAGATTAAGAGCTCTGAAAGGCATAAAAAAGGGAAAATACCTAAAGAGGAGGCAGAGATGCCTAGCAAGAAGAGAAGCAAGAACACAGAATCAATCAAAGATGATAATAGCGATGACGAAGACAGTGGGAGTGTCTCTGATGATGGCCGCTTTCTATCTTCTGCTGCAAAGGCTGTGAAGGTCTTACTTCTTATTGTTCATTTTCTGTCCTAAATCTATGTTCATATAAGTTTAAGCATTTTTTTGATTTGATTTGAATTAACCGTCTTTTAATCAAATTATTAACATGCAGAGAAAAGAAATTTCCGCTCCGGTATATGGGAAATGTGTGGAAAATCTGAAGTTAGTTATCAAGTCATGTGGGATGAGGTTTCACTTTGACTGACCCTTTTCTGAATCTTGATCCCTGCCAAGGTTGACCATTAGTGTACTCTTGTTACTTATTTTACTTACAGTGTTCCTCCCTTGATCTACAAGAGAGTCAATCGGGTACCTGAGAATAAACGTGAAGCCCAATTAATAAAGGAACTAGAGGAGATTCTTTCTAGAGAAGGATTGTCCACAAATCCTTCAGAACCCGGTGTACAACTGTTGATGGTTACTATTGGTTTACGGTGTTGACCTTGTTTGGGAAAGATATTTGTTAGTGAGAAATGTAGGATTAAGTTTTATTGTCATTAATAAGCTCTTTAATGCTTAGATAAACTTTTGGGAAAGGGGAAAATTTTTTATTAACTAATTTTGTCATCTTATGGATGCCTTCACCATCCAAGGGGATGATAGCAAAACTGTCTGTTAACAGTGAACTGATACCTATGTAAAAATAAGTTAAAGCATGTCCATTTCCCTTTATACTATCTTTCATGGGGAATTTAGTTTTGCTATTTGTTTCTCTGGGTTGAAAATTGAAAGTTTCTTTCTGTACTCGGAAGGCTTGATATTTTCTTCAGATGAAATTTGAATAATGGGCTCCCATCATGTATCTGGAAGATGATTGCTGTTCTAATATTAGGTAGGCAAACATATAAAATTCACATGGGATTGCAGAGACTTCCATGCACACCATACTCGAAGCTGAATGCATGGGTTTTATTGCCACCATCATCGTTAAACTCCTCTTACGTAATCTTTTATTCAATACTAATAGTCTGTTTGAGTATTTTAAATTCTCATAAATCAAGGAAGTGAGGAAGAGAAAAGAAAGAGCGAAAGAACTAGAAGGGATTGACATTGAGAAAGCTGCATAACCATTGAGTCTGAGGAAGTGTTATTTGATAAACTATCATTTTCTTACATTGGTGTGGATAAGGTTAAAGAATTTTGTAAACTGGATGAAATATCAGCTGTTGATATTATTGCTTATATGAGATTAGCTTATAAATACAAATATGTAAACTTAATATGTATTAATCTATATTACGATGTATTACTAACTAGTATTGTTGATTGTCATTATGTAACTTCTTATATAAAGAGGTTAAGGCGAGACAATGACTCATAGATTTAGATTAGTTGACCCCAACTTCATTAATGAGTAGAGTGTCACAGTTGTTTTTCATGCTAATCATGTGATTGAATACATGAAAAAATCGACTGATTATTCTTTGCTCTCATATAATGTGCAATAAATTATATTTATACAAATAAATATTCTAACCTTACTCGAATTTGATATGATGCCTAATAAGAGTATATCATTCTTATTATTTTGCAGTCGTCATTGGCAACTTATTATGATTGATATTAAATCCTTAACGTCATACTTACTTAATTCAGCTCAACCAACGACGATGCCTAACCTTGAAATTCAAACTTTTATAAAAAAATATTACATGTTATTATATTATATATCTTATATTTTTTCATAAGTAATTTTATTTATGTATTAATTAATTTTTTTCTTTTTAATTTAGGGTAATATTTGTATTTGATAAGAAGTCAAAGAAAAAATGGGTGTCATTACTGATAAATGTGAAATTTATTCTTTTATGCTAAGTTTGTGTAGATAATTTTTTTTAAACTCACTAAATTTAATTTTCAGGTATCTCATCGATCCGAATATACTGAATATTGATATTATATCTTTCGTTTTATGAGAAAAATAATTTTATATGATTTTATGACCATACTATTCAAAGTTAGTATAAATTTAATAAAGTCATTATATCTTCAAAAAAATAAAAAGCTAAATTATGTTATCATTTATTAACATTTACTTTTGATTTTTTTTAGTAGGAGGGTAAAAAAAACTTCACGATAAAGGAACTTGATGAAGTCCATAAAGAGTGGTGTGAGTATGTATTATCATTTATTGAGAAAAGTATATTAATATGATAACGTTATCAGTTTTAAATTTGCATGTGTGGTCAATTTATTGAAATACAATAATATTTATAATGTAAATTTCAAAATATAATTCGTCGTATCACATATATAAACTAAATATTTTCTGGACATAAACCTACAACTGACTTCATATATATAATTAAACCAAAGTTTTTTTGTTGGGATTACTAAAGGCGTTTTTAGTAAGAAAACGCTTTGAATAATCCTTAACAAAATATTATTAAAGACATTTTTGATTAAAATCGCCTTCAATAATCCTTAATAAAAACTTATTATGTGAATTATTAAAGACGTTTTGGGCTAAAAATACCTTTAAAAATCCGTTTCAACTTTTTTGTATGGATTATTTAAGGTATTTTTGATCAAAACTGCCTTTAATAATCTCTTATAAAAATTTATTAATTGGATTATTGAAAGCGCTTTCGGCCAAAAACGCCTTTAAGAGTCCATTTCAAATTTTTTCTATAAATTATTGAATGCATTTTTCTGTCAAAAACACGTTCAATATAATCTCTCCAAAATTTTTTAAATGGATTGATGAAAGCGTTTTTGTCCAAAAAAATGCTTAAAATAATCTCTTATAAATAATCCCTTCAAAAACCCAAAAAAAGCTAAAATGAATGATCGAACCTATGACCTTATGGTTAACAACCGTATAATCTTAAATTTTGATAAGATATTTATTGAATGCATTTTTGACAAAAAATGCCTTTAATAATCCTATGCAATTTTTTAGTGAAATTATTAAAGGCGTTTCTTGTAAAAAACACCTTTAGTAATCTTCTATCAATTTTTTTAATAGGATTATTGAAGGTATTTTTTTTTGTAAAAAATACTTTTAGTAATCACTCTAATTTTTTAGAGAAGATTATTCAAGACGTTTTAGTCTATAAACGCTGCTCATTTTTGTCTTGAGTGGCATTTATAAGTAAAAGTGCATCTATTTGAATATTTAGTAATGTTTTGATAATAAACGCCTTAAGTTTTATAAAAATATGAAAACAAACGGCGTTTGTAAGTAAAACGTCTCTATAAAACTGCCATTAAGCTTTCATTTTCTTGTAGTGTATGGTGCATGTACTCTGTGATCTTAGCAGATTCTTTGTCTCTACAGACAGGAGCATGTCAATAATTCGTATGTTTTCTAACGATAAATAGATTTATCAGTCTTAGCCAACTAATGCATCATTGTTCCTTTGTTATAGCAAATTTATTTTGGTACATACGAGGAAACGTAAGTAGCTAATGATAGGAAATTTGTAACTCCGGTAGTTTATATAGTAAGTACTTTGTGAATCTATGATTTCACAACTGGGAATGGAAATTGCTTGTGACACTTTTCAGAAATGGGGCAAACTGTAATACCATACAAACACACGTAATATCAAGAACCAATTTTGAAGTGAATTAAGGTATTAATGTCATATAGGTGATCATAGAAAAGCCATGGAATGCAAAATGGAACCGTTTGTAATGTCGTAGCATTTTTCAGTTCTGACTTATCCAAATATCTGAAAGTAAACCAGAATTTGCTGCAAACATTAATATTTTAATACTTAGTAGGTTGCCTGTTCAAGGCTATTGTGTCAGTTCTCTTATATGACATGTGCATGTGTTTGCAGAAGATGATGACGATAATGATTGAATATCCTGCATGAGTTAAACTTGCATGGCGATGGCTGGCACATTGACTGTTAGCTTATGATGCTGTATTATGTATCTCAAATTTTCTAGTTTTATACTTGGTGTGATGTGAGAATGGATAGTCCTTGGTAGAACGGATGAGTTGATAGAGAAATTTGCTTTTATCTTTGTTGATTAGGATGTCTTAGATTCTTGACTAATGCAGTGACTTAGGTTATTTTTCTTAAAAGGTAGTTTTAATTTTATTTTAGACCATACAATTTTTTATGCTAATGCCATAATTGCATTTGGTTTTAAATTGGAATGTTATTCAGCAGAGTCTCAAATTACAAGAATTCTTGGCAATAAATGAATTTAAGGTCATCTTAATAACCTTACCAAGTTGGAACCACAGGTCTTTCATGTTAGAAGTTGGATAAGTAGCATTAATGTTACCAGATAACAGGTAATAACCGAATTCAAGGCCTCCATAATAAATGAGGTCGTAATTCTTTGATAGGGTAAGGTTAGAAGTGATTGCAAGTGATTGCGTTAAAATTTGAATTTTATATTTTTTGAATGTATTTTTTAAGAATAATTAAATAAATTAATCGATTTTAAAGGTCACTGAATAACTGTTAGAATTAAGTTTACGAATGAAGTAGCACATTACCAGGTCAACATGCAGAAAATGAATTCAAGGCCTTCTTATTTCACCTTACAAATTTAAATGAAAGGCCTTTGAAGTTGGAACTTCGATAAGTAGCATGTTGGGTTACCAAAACAAAAACTCAAACAGTCGAACTTGATAACTTAATCAGGAAAAAAAAAAAGAAAAGTGGCCATGACGATCTGACTCCTCAGTTCGCTAATGAATCAAATCTATTCGATTGTCACGTTTTAAAAATTTGTAGAAATCGTGTATTTAAATCCCATATTATGCTGTTTTTTTTGTGACTTCCAAATAATGGAGGGATGTAAAATAGCAAAAGGCAACAAAGTAGTCACTTACCTTTTGATTTCTAGACTATAGAGGATGAACTGCTCAGCCAGATAGCATAGCATGTTTTGCCTTTCTACCATGGAATTTGCTTCGATTGAATCATAGTCTGTTAATGTTTGATATCCTATAAAATTAAATAAGGGATCAAATTTAGGCAGGCAAGAACTGAGCTAGCATTTCTGAAATGATCAATAAGTAGCATATTCTCAAGGGAGTTTCTATAAAGTCTCTTATTTAAACTTCAAATAAAGAGTTTCAAGTCATGTTCTTGCACTTCGAAAGTACTTAAAAGTTTTGCTCAATTGATCGATTTAATCACTATTAAAAGATGATATTTAGCAAATCTGAGAACTAAATTTAAGTATCTGCGATTCGTTACTCACCTCCCTTGTAAAACATAGTAAACATTGCACCTCTTGTAAACTATAATCTCAATTCTGATAAATTTTGTTTAGAAACCCACTGTAATGCACCAGCATTCTCTTTGGTTTAGACTTAAAGATTTCATTATTTGGGGGGGGTTAAGCTTCGATGGGTTGTATAATTTTTAATTGAAGTTTGAACCTGTTTCTTGAAATCTTGCTAGATTTTGAACTTTGTGCTTTCACACGAAGCAGAAGAACTCTATAAACGTAGGTTTATGAGTAACAGATACGCAGAGGTACAATAGCTTGCAAAACTATATTGATAGCAAAAACTGAGTCGCTGCAGTCCAAATAAGTATAATACAGTGAAGAACCATTCAAATTAACAGCTTTAATATTGACTGGTTGAAGCCTGTTGATTGGTTTATTCTTTAAGAAAAAGACTTTCCGATGGAGGGAGAGATTAATAAGGCCGAATTAATATAAGATATATGCCACTTAGAGCTTTAAAAAACTCCCAAAATTTGCAATATTCTGTCATGTTTCTCGAGTTAATGGACTCTCCGCTAGGATCTTCAAAATTCTAGCAGGTTCCTCGATGTTATCTTCCAAGTTGATTGATTTAGCACCGTCTGTGATTGGCAGTTCCAGGGCTTTTCCTTTCTCTGCTGTTGACTTTTGAGGATCTTTGCTTTTGCCCCACAGGACAGTGTAAAGTCCAACAATTATGACAACTGTTCCTATTATGCTGAAATCTCCCCCAAAAAGGAAGCAAGGAATTTTGCTATTATTAGCATTATGATATTACCAAAGGCAAGTTATGCAAAGGAATATTGAAGGTGTAATCTTGTAATAATACCTTCCAAGGTGAACTTTCTCTGCTAAAATAATTGATCCTAGAGCTGCAGTGATGATCATGCAAAGGGGATTGAAGGCTGTGACAAAAACTGGGCCTTGTTCTCTGATCACAACTCCTTGTGCATAATAGGCGATTCCAGAACAAACCACTCCCTGATTAATCACAAATTTTAGAATGTCAAGAACTATATATTCATGCTGTTGCTGATCTTTAACTTTTTTTTTTTTGAATCCATTGTTTTAGCCCTTCTTTCTGGTACTTACAGAATATACAGCAGCTAGCAGGCTTGAGTCCCAGCCAATTTTCCAGGCGTTCATGTCTCTTTCCATCACAAACGACACTGCTGCACCTCCTATGGTCCCAATAAAGCATATCAAAGCTGTAAGTGAGAGCTCTGCTGGGTACATCTTCAATGTAAATGACTGAAACCAAAATTTTCACAATCCAAGTTACCACAGGAAGATCATTAGATCTCAGAATATTCTATGATATTGAAGAAATCAATGTTTAATGCATATGTATATACTCACTTGCAAAATATAAAAACCTGACCAGCCCCAGCATCTGGCTAGCAGCATCAGTGTCCCAGCAACCCAATGCTTAGCCTCAGCTTCATTGGTGGCACTGTGGTGGCTTCCTCCTTGCAACTTTATAAAATTGATTGCAGGACCTTTGTACAGAGTCATGATGACCGCTCCAGGGACCATGATTACTGTTCCAATTATCTTAGCTATACTACGCATCTCCTTCAAGTTTACTCTCTCCAACCTAATTGACAAAGTTAATACTTGTGTTATTGCAATGATAGTAATTTCCAAGGATTATTTGAGTTTAATCAAATCAATACTTTTTTCTACTCTGTCTCTGATTCAATGGCGGATCCTGAATTTTTTTTCAGGGTATCCATTTATGATATATATAAAAACTATCAACGGATTTATCAATTTTATTAATGAGAAGGGTGCCTGGGAAAAAAATTTTCTTTAAATTTTATTATTTTCCAATCTTTAGGATGTCCATGGACACCCTACTACCCCATTTGGATCTATCTCTGCTCATGTCATCTTTGATTTAACATCTAGGTATTTTTGTATATGCAAAGAAACAAAAACATTAATGCTATATTAGTGTGGCATAAATTTGATCTAGTTTATAATCATACATCTCTTCCAAAGAAAAAAAATCAAATTATTCAAGAAAAAATAAAAGAAGATTGCTATATCTGGTGTAAGGTTCTATTTTATATTTTTATGGTCAATAAGTTTGATTGTAATTTCAATTTACAAAAAACTTGAGTGCTAGAATTAGATAAATATCATTGCAATTAATTAACTTGGTGTAGCAATAGCTTGTAAATTAGTAAAGTGCAAAGAAGTTTATCATGGATATTCCATAAGATGCATATGATAAAGATTGCATAAACCCCAAATAAATTAGACAGAAAGAGATCAGAAAAGAACAGGAAGAAGGATATATAATGATGATGATGATGATGACAACTTCCAACTAGGGTGTTATCGGTTTGGTCTAATGTTGCTGCCTCTTGCCCTCTCAACTTTCTTTTTCTCACCTACCTAATTTTCACGCTTATTATTGCGTTTGTGGATATGAAGTAATTATATGTAGTACCTGAAAATCATTGCCATTACGAAGGTAATGGCAGGCATCACATTGACAGTGGCAGATGCAAGCGTTGCTGTCGTGTATTTCATCCCCAGATAGTACAGATTTTGGTCTATCACTGGCCTGTTCATCATCAACACAACCAACAATGATATAATTAGATTTATTTCTCATTTAGCATGAATATGGATACCGCCCGGTACAATATATAATCACAAGCAAAATATGGATATTTATGATTTTCAGTATATTTATCTTAAAATAATTAGTTATCTTACCTTGACCATAAAATTTATATAATAATTAACCTACGTAATTTCGTACAGTGTAATTTTTTAACTCCATATAAAAAAAAATCATATTTGACCGTGCAAATATTTACGTGTTGTTGAGGGTATTTTATCTTTTGAATGAACTGAATATTATGAATGAGAAGATTAGATTATATGGATATGAATGAGTCGATTGAATCAGGAAAATGATCTCAAAAAGGCCAGGGTGTTAAAAGGGTTTTTCGGACACTTTTCTTCAGGTTTCTAGGAAAGAAATAGTGCATTTATTTGCATGCAACGTATTCCCACGTGCCATGAAGTGCAATTCTGCACAAAAATGCATAAACCCCGGGAAAAATGTTTGGAGCATTACTCTAGGAAACCAAGCACCAGGATTCTCAGGAAAATGGGGAGAGTCAGCTTGGGCCTAATTTTCCTGTATAAAGAAAAGGAAGAATTGAAGTAAGCAACAGCAGGTTTCAATTTAATTATAAGAAAAGAACTAGACAGTAAACCAGGCAGAGTTTGCCTGAAGATCAAAGAGAGGTCAGACCTTTCAAGGACTAGAGCGAAGGGTGCAATAACTAGCGTAGCAACCAAATGACGATAAACAGCAAGAATGTAATGGTTCATTCCATTCTGCAAACAAACCATGGTGATAACGTACATTCCTGCAAATCCAAATTGGAGGGACACCATTGCCAAGTATGGCTTTGCCTTGTTAAGCGCAGGAGAGAACGTGATTGGGTTTTGCATTTTGTCTCCCATGTCTCAGTCCCTGCCCTGCTCTCTCTGTCCTGGTTATTGCTCTCCCTCCTATCAATTGCTGAATATTGATGCTGGCACTGAAATCAGACGAGGCTTCTTATAGGCATTTAATGCTGTCTCAAGTCTCTGAGCTGACGGAACGGGGGAGAGAGAGAGAGAGAGACAAGACAAATTTGCTGCTCTAATCCAATTTTTTTTTTCTGGTGATTAAGGTAATAGCAGTAATTATACATCATCTCCAAAATGAACATTTCAATTTCCAATTCGTATGTTTTTTCTTTTTTAGGAGTGAAGACTATAAAATCCTAATCAGGTCCAAATAACATTTGAAAATATATTTTTTTACTTATTATAAAAAAAATGAACTCCTATTTTGAATAATTTAAAGTTTAAAGGGTTTTTTAAAATTAAATAACAAATATAAATTATAATTATAATCAAATACTACATCCATGTATAAAAATCATGAAATAAAAAAAAAACAAACCAATAATAATATAACTAGATAAATTCAACATAAAATAAAAATAAACCAACACACAATAAAATTTGAACTTAAAATCTCATAATTCTAAAACCTTCTTTTAGTACCAATACCTCATTGGCAAGTTCAAATTTTCTTTATATCATAAATATGTTGTAAAAAAGAAAAAAATATTCTAGGATTCAAATTAAACCACAAGGAAAAGTTCTAAAGTTTGAGAAACTGTTACAAAGTTATTAGGGATGGATGGTAAAATTGTGGCAACATGGAAAGCGCATAAACAAAATTATGCCAAAGCATTTGCTAGTTAGAGGCCTTTAATTGTGTTTATTGGGTTGCTCTCTACCAAATGGATAATGATTTCTATATTTCATAATATTTCACCCATCTAATTTTTTTTTATTTTGCACCCATCTATATTTTCATTACACAAAAATGATTTAATATTTGAACCTATAATTTTGTTTCTATATGATGTTTATTGATTGTTTAATGGGTTTTTTTTTTTCTAAATTTTTTGGATAAAAAGATAGAAATGAAAGTTATCCTATTTGACAAAAAATTATTTATATAAGACTCAACTTTTAATTTTAATAATTAAATTTTAAATTTTAATAATTTCAAATATAAAAAATCTCCGCAGCCTCCGGAAGAAAACTATCCTATCCAAAATAAAGAAAAGACACCAATTTTATAATTCGTACGCCCAAATTTTCCGTACGCGGCTTACTCAAATTCCGGATTCTCTTGAAAAAAAGCATCCTCTGCTTACCTAGCTATACATCTAGAATCCTAGCTTGGGTGATGGAATATACTATTATAAATAAAAAAAGCCAAAAAGATTAAAAAAAAAAAAAAACAAAACCCAAGAAAGAAAGATGAGATGAGTTTATATATTTGTTTTTTGAAGGTGAGTGGGTGATTGGAGCCATTGGTGTCAAATGATGATAAGTTTAAGTGCTGCTGAAATGTGTATCCAAAGTTTTGTGGTGTTTGTTAATAGTGGGTGCAAAGAAGAGTGGCCACCATTAATATTTCTTAAAAAAAGGGAAAAAAAATGAAAGGGTTTGATCGTTTCATTTCTTCCTTTTATCCAAAGTAATGCTTGGTTGTGATAAGGTATTTGATATACTAATCCTTTTCATTACAATGTATTTCCAAACACAAAATAGAATAAAGAATTGATAAGATTTGGTTGAATGTAAAAAAAAAAAAATCTTATAATAAATTGTAATATATTGTATGTCTATATTTCTTGGGTCCAAGGAGGATTAGCCATAATGAGAAAATCATTTCAAAGATGGCAAGCCTTTTAGATTTCACTATTATATATTAATAATCAAATTAAACTTTGTAAATTTCAGTCAAGTAGACCATTGAACCTTAAGATAAAGTCGATATTCAACCAGAAAAATCAGAAGACCATCATACACTTGCAGCAATGCAATAATTAGATTTGATTTTTTTTCCTTTTTTTTAAAAAGGGATTAATTTGCTTTTGATATGAAACTAATTCTTAATTTATTTTCTACAAAGATGAGAAAAGCAATGCTGATTCACATGATTTTATTTTATAAAAGGAGATAATAAAAGTTTTTTTAAAATAATTTAACATTTAATATCGTATGCACTATATCCAAGTATATTCAATGCGAATTATTAAAACTAGTTAATTTTACATTGCCAACAGCCTATTAACATAGTGACTAAAGGAGGAGTTGTGATATATAGTTAGGCTTGAGTTTGAATCAAAACAATCGCCACCTTCACCCTCAATATAACAAAAAAAAAAAAAAAAACTAAGTTACGTGCAATTTTTCCTGATTTATCAAAAAAACTTGATTAAAAAGAGATATGAGCTTGAAATGATCCGAATTGATGAGCTTGGTAAGAATCAATACGTTTGCCACCTATGTTGAATGTGAAATGAGTTAAGAGATTTTGTCCTAAAATTCAGGTATTTGACGAAATAAACCAATAAAATAAATTGTTAAAGATGAGTGTAAAAACATATGGGGGGAATGAAAGATGGTGGTTTGGTGATTGGATTCCAACGAGAAACAAAGTTGGTGGAATGGCGAGGTGGATTCCTACCTTACCCCCTTATTTATTTTTCATGCCTACACATCATACAAATTGACACCCCAATGCCCAATGACACGTGTAGTGGATGGAACCTTCTGCAACAATTAAAATTTTATTTTATTTGCGTCCCCTTTTTTTTATGTCTTTGATTGAAACCTTAACCTAATTAACCCGAAATCCTAAGATATTGTCTTTTGATATCACTTCCTAACTAAGATATAATAAAACACTACCTACGCTGGCGGCCCTCAAATTTTAATTCTAACAATATTAGAATGAAATTAAACAAATATTCCATGTGTTGATATGATCTCCCAAAATTAAAAATTTTTTAGTGAAATTGTGTATACCCTTGTGTATAATAACTTGACGTTTTCGCATGTTGCTTGTTTGGTGGAGCATGTAATTGATTTGTCTCTTCTTACACGAGATGTTTTAAAGTCTTAAAATTGTTCGACATTCATGTTGCTTTTATAATGCTATTGGCTGGATGTTAATTATTTTTTTACATTAAAATGGTCTTAGCATATGTGAATAAAAAAATATTGTAAATGTTGAGATTTAATTAATTAAATATTATTGTTTTAAAAATAATTACATAAATAAATTGAATTAAATATATCAGATTTTCTAAAATTTGACTGCTAATTTTACATATGATATTGATGTTAATTTCATTTATGATAAAGGGGGCTTCACAATTATCCAACTTTATATTTTTGGCATTGAATAAAACATGAAAGTATGTAAATAAACATTTCACCAACTAATTACAATAAGACCTAGCTAGATGTAAGCTAATTAATTAAAGTAGCACATGAAATTGACGAAAAAAATATTTGAGGGATTATTCTTTTTATAGGTAAGTCGCCCTATATAGAATAGATAATTACAAAAAGAAAAGAAAGTATAGGGCAATTTGAGTCCAAAACGACCTGATCGCAATCAGCATGCACTGCTACGCAGCTGCCTAATAAGGGAACTGCATGCATATGTTATCTACTTTATAAAGAATGATTGCCTCTAAACCCTACTAATCATTAAAAAAAAAAAGGTTTCAGGGTTCTAGCATTAGGCAATATTGAAGTTGGGTCTTATTTACTTGGTCACTTTCTTATTCCCAACTCTCAAGTGAAACAAGATGGAAAAACACCATTTTTTTTTATTGTGGTATGTTCATAAAATATGGAATTTTTAATTTTAATGGTTAAGATTTAATATTTAACAATCTCAAATATCACAAAAAAAAGAAATACTAGCAAGACATATTGCTAAAATGCCCTTGATCAGTTTTTTTTTTTTTTAAATTAAAGACTTTTTATTAATAAATGAGCATACATGGCTAAAGTTATGCTACAAAATTCGATTTTCTATGGACTTCAGGTTTAGCAAGGGAGTCAATAAAATAATTAACTTCTCTAAATACATACATAAATGAAATTATCTTTATATGAGCATAAAGATTATGTAGCTTGATCATGATGTTGTTGTACTTCCATGAGCTTTTAGATATCGTGTTTAATCAAGAAGTAACAACCAATGAGTCGTTTTTGACAATAATTCTTAGGAAGGTGTCATTGTTTGCCTCAACAATAATGGATAGAACTTCAAAGATAGCCAATAGTTTCGCAAAGTTTGAATCTTGAATTCTTGTGTTTGGAAAATAACAGGATTACCTTGCCTTTGTGATATTATTAGTGGTTAAAGCAATTAGGTATGACATTTCTATTACAATTTGTGCAACTTGTTATGTCATTTTATCAGTTTAGATAGCATGATGGATTTGTGTCTAGTGATCCATACTGTTAGGCAAATAACTTTTGTGGTAGTTAAATAAATTTTTATATTTTTGAAGCCTATAAATTAATAAAATGAAGCTCATAATCTGTGTCAGGTAATTTACTTCAATACCAAATTTTTTCTTCATTTTTCCTTTGTTCTTCCTCTGTTCTATATCCTTTAATTGGTATTAGAGTTTTTATAAGGTCTTAGAGGACTTGTAAGGTATTGAAATTGAGTGAAAAACCATCAAACACTTACCAGCCAACTTTTGTCAACCTTAAATAGCCTCAAGTAGCTGCTCCTTACCTTCACCTTTTATTTTTTTGTAAGAACTATCATATATGAGCTGTCAAAATGAAGTCCTATTTGAGTGCTTTTGATTTGTGAGAAATGGTGAAAGATGAGAAAGAACCACCACACATTCCTGCAAATCCAACAGTAACTCAAATGAAAAATTATAGTGAAGAACAAACAAAAAGGTACAAGGCTAAAAGTTGCATTGAGTCTTTAGTTTCTAATGACATATTCATCAAAATTATGACTTGTAATACTGCAAAACAAGCTTGGGATATGCTTAAGGAAGAATTCCAAGGTAGTGATAAGACAAGACAAATGCAAGTGTTAAATTTTAAAAGAGAGTTTGAAGTCTTAATGATGAAAAAGTTTGAAAATTTAAAGAAGCACAATGATAGGCTTATGAAGATAGTAAATAAGATT